TTCCAATTCAGATTAAATGGACGGCATTGAAGCATCCATAGTAAGAAAGTAGTTGTCCAGGTCGCAGCAATCAACCAGAAAGTGTAGATCACAAATCTTTGTTCAGGCTGTCGAGTCGTCAAACGGTAATAGTAAAGTAACTGCCAAGCTTGTCAGCAAATACATTCGAACAAGTGCGTGAGTAAACAGCGTACAATACAAGCTTTCAGAGACCAAATGTAGGATACGTAGGCGATACGTCCGAACATGATGTACTTGGAGTCAAACTCCGCTGTTTCGATGTTAGATGATGTTATCAATTATGAAGGATGATTGCTATTTACTTTCTTCGACAGTTTCAGCATCTGAGTGGGCATGGTTTCCTAATCCGGTTTGAAGCTGTGATAGTAAGTTAGCAATGTGGGAAATTTTGGAACAAACAAGAAGCAACATACAAGAACGGGGAACGTAGAAGCAAAACCTCCCATAAGGAAGAAAGCGCATATCATGAGCCAGTCATCAGGGTAGATTCTTTCATGTTTGATTCGCCTTAAGAAGAATCTGGCACAGGTCAACAAGAGCACCACAGCGGTGACTGCATAAGCTGTCTGAGCAACCTGCACAGTATTTTCAATCATTTTCTTGGCTAGAATGAAGGTCGAGATCAAAGTTCAAGGAGAGTGTAAGAACAAAAAAGTAAATTGTAGAGAATGTACAAAATTACAAGTCAGGTTACCTGTAGTTGAGAACGGCACTGTGCAGTGACGAAGCTTAGATTGAAGACGATCGAGGGAGTATCGTCTATTCCATTCTATAGTTGTGGATTGCATGTCTTCTGTACTTTAGAATCTGAGGTGGGCAATGCTTGGGTAATCTTAAGTTGTAGTGAATTTCTTCTACCTAGATATTCAATGATAGAGAAATATCCGACGATAGTCTTTGAGCCAATACATTATTCTGCCTGAGGGCCTGGCCAAAGATGTCAAGGACTCTAACATGGCCTCGGAATTGATAAAGTGTCATATGTTTTATCAAAACCATGGATGAATCATGAGATGAGAAATTGTGCTTGTAGTTTTCCTGACTTGAATGTTGTGTATTCACTTGTACACATTATATCTATCTGGAAATCATGATTTCACCATATACAACCTCAGCCACTCTCGATATACTTTTGTCGCAAATGACATACTATTCAAGTGTAAATACCAACGGCAATATCTCTCCAGCAAGTACTGAGAAGTCGCTTGTGTACAGTTTTTCAGAAAACTTAAAACGGTAGTGCTCAACAGAGAAAATAATCTTGAACTTCTTTCCCTTAAGTAAGGTACATCCAATGGCAATCTGTAATTATTGGTAGATCTAGTATCTCATACGAAGGGAGAAGTTTTCTTCTGTCCAGCATGATAGAGATGATGTTCATTCGTTGAGAATCTTAGTACAGTCGTCTAATTGTAGAAGCACCACTAAAAGCATGATGCAATGTTGTTGTATTCTACACTGCGGTAGTCTGGACTTGCAACAATTTTAGGAGATATCTGCGTATGGTATGAATACAATCCTATGTAAGTTCGAAAGTGTTAGAAACCGTAGGTCTTTCATCTCAAGACACACTTGAGTCCCTATTAATCATTAGCTTTGTATTTCACATGATTTCAGATAGCATTATGTTAATTCTAACACTGCGCAGTTATATGGAGCCTGACTCAGAAGCCGTCATTATTATGTCCTGGTAAGGGCCCGTTCGAATTGTTTTATTTTATTTAGATTTATTGCTAATATAGGGTTGATGCTTTTATTTAATTAATAGTTTAGAAGTATTTGATAGAAATACCAGGCGATTTGATGAATAATCTATTGATTGAACGAATCAAGCAACTGCGGTGGTTTCCGTAACCCCAACCCACGATGAGCGCTTCAATTATGAATCCTTGTTAGCGCTCTCGAGGCGCTGTACCAATTTTCCAAATGAATACGGTAGTAGTCTCCGAATCTCGTGTGAAACGGGTATCAAGATTCATAAATGAAGGTCTATACACCTTGGCCTCTCCAGACTTGCGAGCATAACCGAGCCTCACCAGATAGTCTGTCCTCGGATGTCGCCGCCATGTTATATTCACGTCTTGAAAAGGAGTTGGTATATATTTCTCGTCGTGATATATTCAAAGGCAAACTTGCAAAGCTGAAGAAACGAAGTAAAATACATCATGTAATGGAGATGCACAAAGATCACCTTCATCATACAGATCAATTTACCTATTCAATCGATTCAGAGAAAACCTGCAGAGTTTTGGGATATCATCTAGCAGCGCGTTTCTTCGAATCAAAATCAGCAGCTCATGCCTCTTTCCCAAGGGTTTTCTCTCCTAGGAATGATGCAGCCCTGATTGTGAAATATATGGAGGGCGATTTTGAGGGCGAGTGTGCACCGGAAGATTGAATAAACCTTGACGCTCTTCCTTCTCCAGATACTCTTCATTCTACTAAAACCTCAATGCCAATTAGGCCTTCTCTAGGAGATGCTCCGACGGCTAAATAACATCGCGGCAACGGAACGTCGGGACGCATAAGGAAGCCTACTGGAGCCACGACAAAATCGGCAGGGTTTGGGGTGTCGACGGCATGCCGCATAACTTTTAGTCAGAATCACTTCGGTACAATTGCAATCAATTTGATGTGAATACGTTATCACAGATCCGCTCTCAAAAATCCCATGTAAGTTACATGTATTCTCAATCCGAGTCCAAAAACGAACCGTAGCCGATGATCCTGAAATCGACTCGCAACCCCGAACTCGGCTAAAATCTTACTTTCGTGGAGAAAAAATTATCATAGTGTTACTTTTGGTAGCATACTTGACCGCCAGGTGAAATATCGCGAAGCTTCTTTGTCCACGAGCTCGCAATCGTAGTTTATAATTATTTGTGCTAACATGACCTTCATAACGGCCGCTGCATAAGATCGTCCAGGACTCGATGAAGGCTAGCCTTATGTCAAAAAATGGAGCTGTTAACGTACCACGCTATACGACCTGCTCCCCAGACATGAAAGCATCCATTCACATCCGTCAGCTTGGAGGCATGAGTTCGTCAAGCATATTGATTAATCTGTGGCAATTCTGCACCAGGAAGAAGCACTGGATCGACGAATTGAAATCCTCGAAATTGAAGCGGTTTTTCGGGGTATTCTTTATAGTCCTGCATCATGGCTTGAACCGGAGCACAAGCCCAATCTCCAATCTCAATTCTTGTTCCATCTGAGAGTATAAATGGTTGTAGAGCATGACTCCTTGTGCTCACTTTGAGAAAGGGTTAGCCTTTATCTTTCTCTTAGCAAGATGAGCTTGGACTCACTGGATTCGACGGGTGTTAGACGAGCCGATTCTTTGATAAAGCTGTTAAGAAGAGGCAAGCCCTGGGCCGTTTGTTCAAGCAGAGCATATCCGGGTCCTTCAATTTCTTCTCGTAATGGATCCACTTACTTTGGGTGCAGGCATAAGTCGTGGATGGCAAAACTTGTGGTTGTGGAAAGTGCATGGACAGATCCAAATCAAATCGCCATTAACTCATGAACAATTCGTTGTCCTGTTCATAGATTATTCTTTGATGCCATCTCCATGATCCATTGGATACATTCGTGTTATTTGTTGCATCTTTAGCTCCAGCTTTCGTTGTGTTGTTGTGATTTGTACCTACATGCTTAGGGACGGTTTGCCCCATTTTTTTCCAATTGTTTTTCGAGCGGTCGTTGCTCCGCGACTGGTAGTAAGGTATCAAAAATTGTTCGATGAGACGATAGCATCCCGGCTAGAAGTTGTTCTATAAGTCTGCCAACCCATCAGATTTCGCTGCTCTTAAAGTAACGGAGGAGTGAATACTTACTGAGCTAACCACCCCGGTAAAAGTCGCACAGTTTCTGCGGTCATCAATGGGACCTCGATCAAGCTCAGGGCAGAGATCATGAAATGTTTATTGCCAGCTATTATATGTACTTGTCAGTCATTTTTAGTAGTCAATTGCGCTACCACAAAAACTTACCCCAAATCTTCGCAGGGAATTAGCGAGCACTGTCAATTGCACAATCATCGGGTATAAAGGCGAGTGCCTGGATCCTGGGTCCGGTTAGTAATTTTCAGATCGAATATCTCTACCACTTACCATTCACAACCTTGTGTGTCATTCATCTCAGAAAAGTTATTTGCGATGACAATCTGGAGGCTAGGGAGTATGGATGGTAGGTTGTTGGCCAAAAGCGTACGGAGAGCTTAGATGAAGCCAACACATTCACTACTCTTCAATCAAACCAATTAAACCCAGGCATCGTGTATTTGGGTTGAAGTATCTAAAAAGCATCAGTTTGCAGTCTTGCTTTGGTTCAAAATTGATTGTATTGCCTATTTTGATGCTGCATGAAGTGATGACACCGTATCTGGAGCTTTGTTTAGCTCGCCAATGTGTTTCTGTGATGAAACAAAGACAAATCTGTTTTCGGGAGCCAAGATTTCAAAAGACTCGCTATTTGCTTGATCAAGCAGTCAGTTTATCTCGCCTAGTATATAGATAATTCTCAGTCTCTACCTTATTGTAGGCTGTCTGGATGATGGGAGGTCCGGAAAACAAATACAACCACGCTTTCAGTTGTCTTTTCAAACTCCGGAAGCTGCTGTTTGCCGTAAAGGAACGCCGAGTACAGCTTCATGTGCCTCTTGCGCCCCAACTATGCCTCTTGAAACTTGGATAAATTGCAGGCTGACGAATCTTGTTGCGATGACCGATAAATGGATCGGAAACAGTAATAATACCAAGACTTGCATCCGAAATCCTTGATTTTTAATCTTGCGGCTTCTGCAAAAGTACGGCGAAGATCTAGGGAAAAATGGGCACTAGGAATTTACTGTACTATTTGTAACAGACGCAAATGCAAAGTCGAAACTTATTTAAAATGAAAGTCTCTTTCTGGTCGTTTGTTACTCTCTCCAGCTGTTCTCTACAACTTGCAACTTCATTTCCTGGGCTATCATCATGAACTGTTCGGTGTTTTCGATCAATTTACCGGGACAGGTGTTTCTCCCAGGAAGCGTGCAATACGCGGCAAGCAAAGCCTTGTACTTTGCAGCCTTTGAGAACGAGATTTCCCCTGCATGCTTCATTCAGCCAAACAGTACTGCAGATGTTGCAGAAGTCATCAAACAATCTCAGTTGGATAGATCGGTCAGCGCTGCTAAGCTTGCTATCCGAAGTGGTGGGCATACCTCATGGGCTGGCTCGGCAAACATCCAAAGTAGGATTACGATTGATTTGTCAAGATTGATTGAAGTCACACTGAACTCAAAGATGAACATTGTATCCGTCGGTGTGGGTAACTCATGTGGCAACGTCTACAAATTTCTTGGTGACAAGGGACTTGCTATTGTCGGTGGAAGAGTATCTACTGTTGGTGTCGGGGGATTAACTTTAGGCGGTTAGTTAAATGCACAAGGCACATGCAACACTCCCCCCCTTTACTCCCGCCTTCTCTTTCTGGGTATAAATATATCTAATATTGCTAGGTGGCCTGTCGTTTTTCTCTGCAGAAACAGGATTCGTGTGTGATAATGTGGTGAACTTCGAAGTTGTCTTAGCATCTGGGGAAATAGTTCAAGCCAATGCCACTTCCCATCCTGACCTTTTCATTGCTATGAAAGGTGGATCCAAAAACTTTGGCGTTGTGACAAAGATTGACTTTCGGACATTCGAGCAGGGCCAAATGTGGGGTGGTTCTATTTTCTTCGAAAAATCTGCATACCCTTCGCTCATCCAATCCTTTTACAATTTTGCCACCAATCCCACGCCAGATTTGAAGGCACATGTGATTGTGTCAAGTGACTGGATTGGAGGCGGAACAGGAGAGTCGGCCACGGCAAATCTTTACCATACAACCCCCATTGCCGACCCTCCATCATTGAAGCCTTTTGCAGAAGCTCAGCCACAGCTTCAGAGTACTCTACGCAACGACTCGTTGCTTGGATTCACAGAAGAGCAGTCCGCCTATGCTACCAACGGTGATCGACAATGGTTCTTCACCACAAGCTTCAGGCTTGACGAGCAACTTATGCTCGACATCCATCAACTGTGGCTAGATGCAGTCTCAGGCATGAATCAGACAGGCCTTTCAAATGCTCTTGTATACCAGCCCGTCATCAAAAGCCTCATATCCAATTCATTGAAAGCTGGTGTCAATTCCCTCGGCCTAAATGTATCCGATGGACCTTTTGTTGTTTGCCTTCTGAACGCTGTATTTACAGACTCGAGTCTCGATGATACAATCTCCGCCGCAATGCTTAGATTAGTTGGGGAAATTGATTCATTGGCTGCCAAACGAAACTTGAGTTCTGAGTACAAATTTCTCAATTATGCGTTCAACAGCCAGAGTGTGATTGGAGGTTATGGAAAGCAAAGTATCGCCAGATTGAAGAGTACAAGCGAATTGTACGACCCAACACAATTCTTTCAGGAAAGGGTTGCAGGTGGTTTCAAGCTCACTAGTGCAGATTGTTAAGATTGGAAATATGTCTGTGAACAATGTGTGTCTGGAGGATAAATATTTATCTCAACTCAAGTTGTTTCTCTGTGCCATCTGATAAGAATCTTGATATTGGAAAAACCCAATAGAATATTCATCTATATCCCAACCTAGAAGATTGATCCTTTGTAGGCTTGAGATTATATTGAGCTGCAAATGCCTCAATCACATTCAGAACATATGTCACTCATCATTGATTACGTCGGCGGGTTCTAAGGGTTGTATACTCAGAAGGAAGTTGGACCTCGACCAGTGTCTGCCCGCGGGATATTTTCCCAGAGGCTCGATATCATAATTGCGTAACACCAATGATAGTAGAATCTTCATCTCATGCACTGCGAAGAAACGACCAGGACATGCATGACGACCATAACCAAAAGAAAGAAAGCGGTCCGAGAGAGTAGCGGCTGACAGCTCCAAAGATCCGGCCGGATTGCCCGCCTCATCATTCATATCTCTCATTTTGTCTTCCATGCCTGTTTCGGTGAGTGGGGCAGAATTGGTACTGAGCGAGCGAGAGAAACGAAGTGCATCAAAGCGCGTTGGATTGGAGTAGAATAATGGGTCGTAATGCACTTGATTCATGGCTACAGCGAGCTTGATCCCCTTTGGGATGTTGTATCTGTTTATATATATGCCCTTCGGGTGCGCAACTACACGAGGCAATGCTGCAATCCCAAATGCAGAACAACGCATTGAATCGCGAATGGTAGAGTCTATGTGCTGGAGGTTTACGACTGCGGTCTTTGTCCACGCTCCGTTAGATTCCCTCAAGGTGTTCTCGATCTCTTCGCGTATTACTTCCAGAGCTTTGGTATAACCAGAAGAACTGAAGAGATCAATAAGTGTGTTGGCTATTGTAAAACTTGTTGAGTGCATGGAAACCATGCTTAAGCTAAGAAGTCGTTTAACAATAAGTCTTGGATTTAGTTGCTTCGAATCGCCAGCTTTGAGACATTCTTCAATGATCCACTGCAAAGCATCTTCCTATTTAATGTTAGTCAGCACGAATATCTGACTAATTCTAAGAGAGCTAGGAGCTTACCGGCTCAACCCAAGAGAATTCTGAATCTACTTGTTTCTTTTTCGCATTTTCGAGCCTGTCAATGACAATTGGGAGAATTATATGCTCAACATTGGACGCATGCCATTTAGATTTCAGACCAACTAGACGACCAACAACTGGTTTCATAAACTTCGGGAAAAGTCGAATCACGAGAGCTCCACCAAATACTGATAGAGCATATTGGCGTGCTTGCTCGAGATAATATTCATCTCGACCTTCTGTCAATTAGCCAGATTATATATCATGAGACCATGAATGAACGTACATAATACAGGTCTAACGAAGACACGATTTGCTGCTCTTGCAATAACATTACGGCAGAATTCAAAGATCCTTACTGTCTTCCACTCATTTGAGGTACCCCAATAAAGATCTAGTCCCAGTTGTAACTCTTCTGCAATAGACTCGGAAAAATGAGGTATGCTCCTCGTAAGTTGATTTCGCACAACTTTAATGTGGAAGGCATTATCATAAAGCTCTGGGTCGCCAAGTGTATAGGAGGCCTCTATTGTCTCATTCTGTGGACGGAGAACCTCGATTTCCCGTTCAGGTCTATTGAAGACATCTTTGATGTGACTTGGGGAGAGCATGATCATGGGTTCCGAGAAAAGTGTGGTGATTGCGTGCGGAATGCCTTTCTTAGAGAACTTAACAGAACAATTTAGCACAGATACACAAGATAGTGGTGGGTTTTGAGTACCTTGAAGTATCCCTCAGCTACGATTAATTTGAGGCCATATAGAGACAAGAGATTGCCACGCCATGTTTGAAGTATGTTGCCTGTACGTTGAACCCAATTCTGCGACTTCCAGAACGAATTTCTGTTAGCCTTCCTCAAGAGAATATGGCCGATGAGAAGGCAAAACTTAATGCAAAGGGCGGACCTAACGAGTATCCTGAGATGGTCATTTACTACCATCTCAAAGGCGTTAATATGCTAAAAGTAAATCCATAGTAGAAATGTTTGTCTGAAGTTGAGACAAGCCGTAAGTTTCACAATGAACACTCATGTATTCGAAGTCCAGAAACAAATTCATAGAATTACTAGGTATACAGGGGCAACTGATTTTTGGAAGCGTGATTTGAGGTTTAGCCTGCTTGATTTGCCTAATCTCGGTTCGTCTTTGCCCCGTAAAGATAATTTCTTAGCTTCAAGATTGAGGATATTTGGGCCTCATATTTAATATCTTACTCATTTCGACCAAGACCCTTAGCTGATCCTTGACACGTTAGAGCTCACCGGCTCTAGACGCCCTACATAGTCTTAGACTGATACAGGAAGTAAATGGAATAATCAATAAATCAATCATTAGCTGATTCTTATTATTTTGAGCTTAGAATACTTGTGTAAAAATGATAGAATTTAGGATGTAGATTCCTAATGGATTTTCCTCATAGAAAGCATTTGAAGATACTACACTAAAAAGTATATTGAAACCGAAGAATCAATCAACAGATCTGTTTTTTCTTGTATTTAGAAGTTTATACATAGGTAATAAAGATATATATTACAAGTAACCAAAGACATTCTACGGATATTGATTCACCCAATTAGGCATAGTTAATAAATTTGAAGATTTTATGAAAGTAATATTTCTAGAAAGATGCTAGGTAGATCTGGGGGGGGGGGGGGGGGCTAAGTTGCTTTATTACTTGTTTTAAACTAGTAATAAGACTCAGCGAGATTCATTCATTAATCAGAAAGGAGTAGAGTTCGAAATGTTAATTATTACTAGTCCTATATTATACTTGTCTAGTTACTCTATTAGGGCTTTGACTGAAACTGGAGAGACTATCACTCCTAATCTCCTAATCGAGTAATAGTAAAATAAAGCGTGCAGAATGCCTTTATTAATTACTGGGTAGTTGTGGTAATCTGACAACCACTAATGCATGTCACCCTCTGAAATCTAAAAGTTGCAGGTGGTGAGCATCATCGGCGCAGAATTACGGCACACTCCATCCGTACACAACATAGCCGAGGAGCTACTGCCCCTTCGGCTTGGGGTCTGTCTTCTCAATCCATATTTTCCCTTCTCAATCCATTCTTCCCGATCATTTTATTTCCGTTTCCGCGATTATAATTTTTGAGCATCAACATCTATAATGTCCAGATTCCCAGAAACGAAAGAAGCTATTGTTGAGGTCCCTTCAACAATAGCAACCTCTCTCAACGATACTACCAATGAGAACTCGAATAAACTATCAACAACTCACTCCTGGCGATTTTGGTTCATCTTCTTAGCGCTATGCCTCATCTCTTTTGTATGTAGTATAGATACAACTATTGTTGTGACAGCGCTGCCCACAATTACGAGAGAAATTGGAGGCGAAGAGCAATACATATGGATCGCCAATTCATTCGTTTTTGCGTCAACTGCACCTCAACCTCTCTTCGCTCATATTTCCAATATTCTGGGAAGACGCAATCCATTTCTTTTCGCTATTTGCCTCTTTGCTTTTGGAAGCGGTCTTGCTGGCGGTGCCACAACTCCAGCTATGCTCATTGCCGGACGAACAATACAAGGAGTTGGCGCAGGGGGCTGTTATGTACTTCTTGATGTTGTACTTTGCGACATAGTGCCTCTCCGCCAAAGAGGCAAGTATCTCGGTATCATGCTCGGGACTTCAGCGATTGGGGTAACTATAGGACCTCTCATAGTTGGAGCTTTTGCCCAAGCCAGTTGGCATTGGATATTCTACCTGAATCTACCCTTCTCGGGCCTCTCTTTAGCTTTCGTTTTCGGTTTACTAAGCATGCGTTGGAAACGGAGCGCATCATGGAAGCATGCTCTGAAACGAGTTGACTTTCTTGGTAACGCAATTCTCATCCCATCGATCGTGGCGGTCATGTTTGGTCTAACATTTGGCGGTATTCATTACCCGTGGAACTCCTATCACATCATTGTTCCGCTTGTCTTAGGTCTCGCCGGATGGATTCTCTTTCATCTTTACCAGGCATCATCATTTTGCAAGAAGCCTAGTGTCCCTCCGCGTATACTCAGCAATCGAACGTCCGTCGTCGGCTACTTTCTCGTATCTGTATCTGGTCTCTTGCTTGAATCGATCGGGTTTTTCATGCCAGTATACTTTCAAGCTGTATTCGGATCAAGCCCTTTAAAGTCTGGTATCCAACTACTTCCCACCACAATCACCGTTGTTCCTTTCGGGATTGCTGCGGGGATTATTATGTCGAAAACCGGCTTGTATCGTCCTTTGCACTGGGTCGGTATGGGCCTCGCTAGCATTGGTGCTGGACTCCTCTCAACTCTGACAATGAATTCAAATAAAGCTTCATGGATCTGTTTCCAGATGATCATGGCAAGTGGCGCTGGTATGATCGCTGCATCAACATTACCTCCTATACTCGCCGCATTACCAGAGTCAGACGTTGCGACTGCCAGTGGAATGTACTCTTTCTTGCGATCATTCGGGTACATATGGGGCGTAACAGTTCCGTCAATCGTATTCAACGGCCAATTTCAAAAATATGCCCATCAGATTGGCGACGCAAAAATCCCAGCGCAGCTGGCGAATGGTGCGGCATATGCTTACGAGAGTGGAGGTTACATTGCGACATTGCCTCCGGGAGTAAAAGAGAGGGTGATCGGGATATATATTGATGCGTTAAAGACAGTGTGGCAGGTTAGCATTGCTTTCGCGTGCATCGGATTTTTGCGTGTTTTTGCGTGTTTTTGCAGAAAAGCACCTGGAATTGAGGAAGGAGCTTGATACTGAGTATGGTATAGATGAAGGATCGAGAAATAACAAGATCGGGGATTCAGAGGAGGACAGAGTTGATACAGTGCGATGACGTAACAAATGCCTGCTCGGAGAGCTGTTGAACGAAGAAATTCCTTACGAGTGGGAATGTATGATCGATCATGCTCCGAGAAGGGCGGAACATTCTTCACTTCAAATCGAGTTCCACTATTTCTGTGCGCGAGGGAAGTTGCAATCCCAAAAGACAAACGGCTGCTGATGTTTGCGTTATTCCGAGGTGGCCTTGAATCACATGCAGCTATTTTATCAGCATACTGGATATTGAGGTTGGATCGGCTCGGTCCATTCGCTTCGTATGTCCACTTCGTGACAAATGCAACCTCAATATAATAAATGACTCGAGTAACGGATTCAGATGCTAAGACGCTCTTCCACATTTTCTGCGTGATAGTTTCGTAGGATGATGGAATACTTATCCAAACAAGCGCGAGCAATACAGGCAATACAGCTAAACGAACTCGCGAATGAGCCGTTGTGAACCCAATCACAAAAGACGTTATGAACAGTTGTAATCCGTTCACGTATAACGGGGATTTGGGATTTTGCAAAAATGATGCCATGATTCTGTGTGTAAAAAAAAGAGAAATAGGAAGGAATTCAATCTTCAAACAGAGGGTCTTCTGAGAGACCCTTTTAATACCTAGGTGTGATCGCTAGGCAGGGGTGCGTACCGAGGATATGCAAATTGGCTATATATCTTAGCCTGCTATATTATTCCGCTTTCGCTCTTTATATTACGGGGTAGCAATCTAATACGGTAATGCTTACCGGAGATCTCGTATATCCGAGGTTAACCACATGCAATAAATATACTTACTTTGTTAACAAAGCGGATTATCAAATAAGCAATAGCAACAGTCAATAATAAGAAAATCTCATCAGAAAGCAAACCAAGTTCAATAATGAGATCAGGCTCAGGATATTTGTTGGAATTGCGTTCCACTATCAACGTCTTGCCATGCAAGTCAGCCAACTATTGGTTTTCCGCTTAGCGAAAGAGTACAAAGTGACTGCCATGCTCTATGCTCTCACAACAATTCGAGGTCCATCTTGGGACTTGTTTTTCGTCAGCCTATAATCAGTAGCAATACATGTTCATTCAATACATAAATTTTAAAGATGCCTGAGAAAACTGTTATTATCACAGGCTGCAGTGATGGTGGTATCGGAAGTGCCCTCGCGCTTAAATTCCAGAAATTGGGGTTTCAAGTATTTGCCAGCGCTCGAGACGTGTCCAACATGTCAGCGCTCGAGGGCTTATCTAACATAATCTACTTGGTGCTCGATGTAACGAACCCTCAACAGCTTCATAACGCGGTGAAGCTTGTCCGCAACAGATGTGGGGGCTCTCTTGATATTCTTATAAACAATGATGGTCATAAATATTTTTCGCCAGTGCTCGATATCGATTTAGCTGAAGCGAAGAAAATCTACGATATCAATGTTTGGAGCCCTTTGATGCTTATTCAGAAGTTTGCGCCGCTTGTTATTTCAGCAAAAGGATCGATCATCAACATCACTTCTATCTCAGGCTACGTGAATGTTCCCTATATGGGTATGTTGTCACACACAGCATATCTCACCAACTACTGAATAAAGTCTTCTAGGACTCTATGCGGCATCAAAAAGATCTTTAGAGATTCTCAGCGAAACGCTACGCCTTGAAATTCAACCATTTGGCATTCATGTGTCATCTATTGTCACTGGTGCGGTTCAAACAAATGGACAGACTCATTTTGATGACAGGAAGCTTCCCCATGACCCTTTGTACAAGCTTATTGAGAATACTATACACAATAGAGCTCGCGCCGGTGATGGTGTTCTCCGGATAAACACAGTGGAGTATGCAGAGCAAGTTGTGAATAGTATTGTCGGCCGAAAATGTAATGGAAGGTTTTGGTGTGGCACAAACGCAACACAGACTAAGTTTGGATCAGCTATAACACCACAAGGGGTTTCGGTAAGCTCTGTGACCGAGTATTAGAGAATACCAAGATCTTATACTAACATTTCAAACACAGGATGGCTTCATGGTGATGGGGTACGTGTGGGATGAACTTGCAAGCAAATCGAAGGAGAATTAATCTCGAGGACGTTCTCCGCTCCTTACATCTCACCTACATACTATTGAAATTATCTATGTACTAATTATCCGTAAAGAATGCTGCAAATATATAACCCTAGCGTAAGCATTTTCCTTTAAGAAAACAAAAAATGTTTACAGAGAAAGGGCATCTTTGGCAAACGGCCAGACAAGGAAGACGAAGAGCTCGCTTGTACAGTGGTACAGTAATCATACTTGCTATAGAATTCCAACTACGAGGTCCCGATGATCAAAGATGGTGACTTACAAAAATGAAAACCCCCCGAGGTATCAGTAACTGAGAGTTCCCAAACACGTCTCATACTTGCAAGTGCTCCCGACTGTATGCAACAGGCTGTGCACAGAGAGATACCAGATGTCATATCAAGTATTTCAAAAATTTCTCCTAGGTGAATAGATGGTCATTTAGCCTGAGATTGAATTATAGTTTCTATTAAACCATTCCGAAAATCCAACAAGTATGCGTTCGAAGTAAGAGAGCTGTAGTGGCTAACAGAGTCAATGAGAGGGTGTCATACTTACATTTAACCAGCATATACATCCGGCGAATAGAGAACACTGCATGTTTGCTACCTAATGATCTATCGAGGGCTGCATTCGCTACCAATCCACTAGAAACTAGAGAACAGTCGGGCTCAACGTAGTTACCGAGCAGGGGCACGAAATGGAAATTGCCAACAGTTGGAATCGAGAACCTACCCTATCATACCTTGGGATAGATGTGCCATATATTTACATTGCCAGCAGTGCTGTGCAGCGCAGGGTTCTCAAAAGAAATTTGACTAGAGCAAATAAACAAGGATCCGGGAATTTGACAGAAGCTCAGAAATGGGGATGGCGCAGCAAATTATTTACTCAGAGGCTAAGAAAGTATCACTGTATCTTTATAAGACTGCCATTCTTAGCAACCTTCGGGCATGAGGATAAACATGGAGAACCATTTTTTCCCATTGCAAGCCATTGAAGGTAATCTGGTGACTTTGATTGCTTGCTTTCTGCTTCTAATTTCTTGGAGAGTGTATCAATTTACGATTACTCCATGGCTACATCCAGAGAGCCCTAAAGAACTACCATACTGGATTCCATGTGAGTCAACGAAGTCTCATCAAGAACCTTTTTGTGTGTACTGACATTTCAATCTTCCAGTTTTAGCTGAGCAGTCCTCGATATAATATTCGAGCACAACTGCAATTCAGCTTGATATTTACCTTTTAGAAGAACGAGCTGACTTACAAAGGACATGCGATTGGGTTCTATAGGAATGCGAATGATGTCTTAGAACGTGGGAGGTATGTTTTCCGATAATCCGCAGAATTTCCTATAAGCCGAAACGAACGTCCAGAGCTCAGAATACATTTTGGAGATACCAAAGCTCTATATTCGATCACACTCGCAGGTGAAACTCTTTTTGTGATCACTGGAGCGAGCGATATACAAGAGCTTTACCGAAACAGCTCGACAATAACATGGGATAATTTGATCAAAGACATGTACTCCTTTGTGGGCCTATCTCCTAGAAGCATCTCCCGGATGTGGGGTGAAACTTATGAGCAGCTAGCTTCTATAGATTCTAAGAACCCCACTCGATCAGCACACGAGATGACTTCCGAATATCATCGCCAGCAATTACTCACAGCTGTCAATGCTGAGAACCTCATCCAACAAATAGTTCCCCGTCTTGGAAAAAGCCTTTCCTGGAACATATTGAGGAAACATCCCGCTTGTATGCGCACATCCGGAGACTCTATCACGCTTTCTCTGTGGGGGTGGTGCAATGAAGTTATCATCAGGAGCTCAGCCACTGCATATTACGGACCCAAAATCTTCGAGATAAATCCAAATCTCTTGCAAGTAATGATGTCATGGGAAGCTACAAACTGGAAATTTATGTACAAGCTACCTGAATTCATGGCACGAGATATGGTTAATGCCAGAAGCGAATTTATTGACACACTTTGCAAGTACTTTGAGACGCCGAAGAAAGACCGTTCCGATGCTCTGTATTTTGTAACGGCGATGGAAGAAGAAATTAGGGCAGCTGGCTTGAGTGATCGCGAAATTGCAGGCATACAAATGCTACATTTATGGGCGTAAGTATCAGATCGAAGAATATTATAAACAGCTAACAAAGTTATAGAATTACCGCTAACGTGTACAAGGCTGCATTCTGGGCAATAGCTCACATTGTCCATAGACCAGAATTGCTTGCTCAAATCCGCGCTGAAATCGCTCCAGTTATGGGAAAAGATGGAGAGACAGTAGATCTCAAGTATCTCACAGAAGATTGTCCACGGCTCGAAGCTTTCTTTAACGAGGTCCTGAGGATCAACTCGGCAGGAGCACTTGCACGTGAGGTCATCACACCCACATTGTTTAGTAGAAAAGTACTTGCTAAAGGCACGAAACTTATGGTAAGTAAGCGGTCGTATCATTCACATCCATCAAACTAATGCTACGACCTAGATTCCGTACCGCCAACTTCATCTTGATGGACAAGCATGGGGACCAAGCGCTCGTGACTTTAACCCAAAAAGATTTCTCAAGGATTAAAACCTTACACGCAGTCAGAATTTCAGACCCTTTGGAGGCGGCCATACACTCTATCCAGGACGCTTTGTTGCTAAGAAATCAGTTTACACCATCGTGGCTTTTCTTTTTTCTCGATACGACGTTACTTTGGAAACTAGTACCGCCAATCAAAAATTTCCACGCATCGATGATGTTACTGCTGGAATTGGAACAATGGCACCGATGCCTGGAGAAGATGTTAAACTGGTCGTTAAGCCGATGAAAAAGTAGGGAAAATTTCTATGTCATTGAGTAGGAAGATAGTGATGCGAATTAGATGTGTGCGTTTTTAGCAAGGGATTTATAGTGCATAGTACAGACTATATAATAGTGATTTCTGACTTGTAATCTTGTCAATGTAAACTTTCAATGCCCTGAATAGTGTTTATAATAGTTAATACTGCTGCCTCTTGAGTTCAAGAGTCGCATGGTAAGATTCCGAATATACTATCATTTTTATACTTCTTACGCGTGCCCACCTGGAGACTTATAGACTGGTAGACTGACGTGAATGATGAAACTAACTATGTTCCCAAAAGACCCCTCCACCAGTGGGTGCAAGCACTGACGGGACACTTCCCAATTTTCAATATTTTCAATAAATTCATTCTTCAATTGTTTGATATCAGAATTTGTATTTTGATTATTTTATCTTTATTCAAGAAATATAACAAATTTTAAAATAAATGGTTCAATATATCAAAAGATATTTACAAGTTCATTTTTGTACTGTTCCGTGAGTCCGTACACCCACTGGTGCTCTTTTTGAACTCAGTGGTAACTTGTCCCAAAAACGAGAACCGCAATTGTTCCTCGCATCAAGGCAGAATGAAATCCCAAAAGATAGCGCACGAATAATGTTTTGCTGCTCTGCTGACATTAGTTTCATCCGTATTATGTATAATCGAACCAAGAAGCACTCACAAATGCAAGGCTACTCGGAAAACAAATTATATTACTCATATGTGGGCATTCAAGGATTTAGTAATACTGCCTTGACCATATCTTGCGAGATATATCATCTCAGCTGGCAGCGCCGAGTGAGCTGTCAACATGACAAGAAGGGTGCGTTATATTTCTCTTACAGTTCGTATGGGCCCAATCATGACGGGCTGGGCGATCGGCTAAGCATGGGCGGTGGACACCAAGAATGTAAACTCTCTGGTATACCGTATTTATTCTCATCGTCCCTGTCCAAGCCGTTAGATTCAACAGTATCTTAGACGGTTCAATAGTTTGCTGAACTTACAACGAGTATCGCAAGGCAACAGCACGAGCAATCTTCAAAAGACTGATAAAGTCTCTGTCGTCGTCTGTCCATCTCAGCAAAGTGGCTGTGGCTTCTATTACTGGTTTTTCGTAACTTTCATCATACGGCATGATGAAGGACAGACTTGCGAATTCGAAGTGTCGAGGGTACAATCCAGAGCAGCCCCAATCAACGAGACTAATCGTATTGTCGTCTTTCAGGATCATATTGCGTCGACATAAATCCATGTGACACAGAACAAGTGGGTGTGAAGTCAGATTGATAGATTCATCACGTATTGCCAAACGTTTGTTAAGCCAAGCTTCCAAGTCTGATGTAGAGGTAAAAGATGTCCCCGCACCATCATCACCCCAAAGATAGCCTTGTGGCTGACCCCCACCTATAGGACCTGGGACTTGCCCGCTCTGAATCGTTCCCAGATGCCCGATGATTTCGGCAACACGGGGAATAATATCCGTGTGCTCATCAAGATCTAGCTCGTCTAGCTGTCGACCTGGCACATACTCCATGAACAAGTAGCCAGAATCTTTCCAGTCGAAGTAGCGGTAAACCTGGGGAATATGAACAATTTTCGAATCGACATTCTGACATGCAAATCTTTGAGTTTCTGCCTCAGAAGCCATGACACCGATTCCGAATTTGGCTACTATCGTATCCGATAGCTTGACTACTCTATCCCCTCCAAAGCAGCCTCCGATCGTTTTACCCTCTTTCACGAGCCTGTCGCAGAATTCAATCAGCCATTCTTCATTGACTGTCTGAATATTCAACGATAAGTCTGCCATACTGGTACGTTGATTGAAGATTGAACAATTTTGAGACGGCAATATAATGAGACGTTTGTGTTTGTGATATCAGTCGCTCGCGAATAGAATTCTATTAATAAATTCCAAAATCTCGACCACTAGACTGGCCTTCAACGCCAAGCGCCCTCGGCGCCCTGACATAAGTCCGTGCCCCGGAAGCATGTCAACTAGTCGCGGGGTCTCTACGTAAGGGAGATAAGCGGCCGATGTTGAGTACCTTTACGAAGTCTTTGTAAATCAATCAATTCTTTTTGACACATCAATGAAGTTTCTTTGGTTATAGAATTTGAAGAAAATAAAAGCCGAACTTTTTGTATCATACTTTCAGATTTTACGGTTTCATTGGAAATTGATTTGTAATTCTAAAGAATTTATAAGATTGAAGTATTCAATTCCGGCGACTTCTTTCGCTTACGTAGAGCGGGTCTTTTGAAGGGCCAGGTAATATACGCGATCTGACCAAACAATTTGCGTTCCTTCGAAATTTGAAAACAATATTAGGAAGATATGAATCAAAATTGGGATAGAATCTATGAGATCTTTGAAAGTAAAAGTCAAAATGTCACTCTGACCTCGAAGAGATCAATCACGAGGTTGAAGTTGATTTGTGTTTCAAAGTAGTTGAATGTGAGTCGATTTTAGTAAAGAAATTCGCCAAATTTCTAGTCTCTTCTAAAAGGCGACTCGCCCGAGTGATAATTCAAGAAATATAGCGGCCGTAAGATTGTTTTCCAAGATAACTAGATTATTACCGCTCCCTTCGATGTACGAATCCGAAGACCGGTAATAAGCTCTACGTGAGGAAATAATCCTATGGCTGAGCGCCATTTGATCAACTAAGCAGTAGGATTTTTCTTACATACAAATAAACGTAAAAGGCCGTATGGTCATCGCATCTAATTTTAAATATTAGAAAGTATTGCGAAGCATAGCATCAAACCAGAGAGGGCCTTCTTCATTTATGATATCCAATCTTGGACACTGAAGACTATTGCACTGCTAATTATAGTAATGTCGCCCCATACAAACCCATCTGGATATCATTCAGGTCGTCGTCGGGCTTTGTACCACGGCAATCACCTGGTGTGTGTTTGGCTGTACAATTAATGTTGGATTCTAAGCAGCGTCGTACGTAGTGTCTTTGAGAATGAATATGAATGTAATGCAAAATGTGTTTATACAAAAGCTCCCCAAGCTGGTAGTATCGTTAAAAGTACAAACAGACAAACAGAACGAATATCTAGCTCCATCTAGCAAACCACTACTATTAATGTCTTCCCGTAAGCATGTCAAGCCTTCAAGTTCGCGCACAAAACCCAAGGATTCACGTTCGTCTACTCGTGCCGTCAAGGAAAGTGACTATGACCTTGTTGTCAAAGCAATCCGCGTAACCGTTCACACTACAGGCAAATTCTTCGAAAGCGACATTCGCAGTGGTAACCATGCCTCGATCTTCCTTCTAACATCAAATGATGCTTCAGTCCGCCTTAACATGACAAAAACATCAGCAGACGCCACGATGGGCACATATGAGATAAAATATTGCAGTTACCAAAGAACAAATAGTTCGCTAAGAGACTTCGATCTCACAGCTACCAGTCAAGGCTTAACAGTTGGGCACGTTTTGCAGCTGATCGAAAAGAAGAAGCGTGATGAGTATCAGCTAGCTCGCAGCGGCCTGGGCTGTAGACACTGGGTGTAAGTGACGTATTCTAAATTCACAAACCGTGAAACTGATTCTTTGTTGCAAGGAAAACGGTTATTAGAGATTTTAATGATGCCGGATTTATCTCATCTTCGAGCCCTCTTACAACCGAAGATGCTGTTAACGGCTTGAGATATAACTACTCGAAAGGCAAAAATCCTGAGCTAGAAGAGATTGATCCGGGCACTTTCGTAACAGACATACCAAAAAAAGTGAATAGAATAAGACACACTAATACAAAAGACTCTGAATCTGGATCACACGGAAGAACGGGTTCCGGTTCTGGATCTGTAAAACGTCGTTGAGGAAAAACAAAGGTTTAAGGCAATACTAAAAGATACTTGAAATTACACCAGTATTTTGGAATATCAGAAAGATGGGAGGTATAGAGATCAATGGTCAAAGCAGTATTCATGTCCAGATTGTAGGCTGGGGTTGTTTTAAAAAATTGTTTTTGTTTTGTAAAATTGCACTTGCTGAAGAGCTTATTCAGAGTTTGAGATTAAAGCCAGACGGGAACAATTTGTATTTGAAATCGATATATATAACACCCAAGAATATAGGGATTTAATGTGAAAGTATACATACCTCTAAGCTCGAACAGATTGAGATCCGCAGTCTCTTCCAGCTATTTACTCTGAAATTGCCCAACAGCTCATATATAAGAAATCTCACCAAAAACGACACTTTGCATATAGATACTCTCTCATCAATCTATTCGGGATTGCACTATCGTCTTCAGCGTGGGTGTCTAGAACGAATTTTTAAGTCTCAAAACCGCTTCCAACAGTTCAATGATACTCATATTGAATGTAATCTCTTCGGCTGCAAGAAAAACAAGACTCAAATCAACGATAGTTGAAAGGAGAATCGCGAAAGGATAGAGTGTTGAAGGTGTTGTTTTTTTCGAATAAGAAGTCAATTGACCATTAACTGGATGTACTTTCATCAAACTATGGGGTTATTGAAATGTTACTCGCTAACCTTCACAACGACCTTTCCAAAATGACCCCCGTTGTACAAATACTTCAATCCCTCTTTGGCCTCCTCAAACGCAAACACCTTATCAACCACGGGTCTAATCTTCTTTTCATCGTACCACTCCAGCATTTCCTCAAATCTTTCTCTCGGTCCATTTAAAATTCCCTTCAACGTAACGTTTCTTCTCAGCGCAAGAACATTGGTATTTGTGCGATCTGCATTGTCGTCTTCTTTCCCGGAGAGATATCCGATAGCATTAATTAGTCCACCAAAAGCAATGGCATCGAATGATTGACGAAGCGTCAAGGCACCACCTGTTTCGAAAATATTGGAAACGCCCTCGTTATGAGTGATCTTCATTACTTCTTCAGACCAGATGGGTGTGGTACGGTAATTGATTGTGTGATCTGCGCCAAGAGTTTTGGCTTGAGTGAGTTTGGCGTCGGAAGAAGAAGTTATGATTACTAGATAACTTTTAGTTGTATGAGCTTTTGGGATGATACGTCAGAACTACCTTCCATGCCACTGGCTTTAGCAATTTGCAATCCGCTGATTGCTACTCCTCCAGTTCCTTGAATCAATACTGTTTCTCCCTTTCCGCCCGGTTGTCCAAGCGGTCTCATGCCATTGATTGCCATCCAAGCTGTAACTCCAGCAATTGGCAATGTACACGCTTCTTCATCGGTGAGATATTCTGGTTTTCTGACTAAACCCTCAGCGTCAAATACCCGATATTGCTGCAAACAGCCTTCAGTGGGTAACCCCAGTCCACTAGCCATATCTTTTGCAGTCACTTGACCACGAACATGTGTCTGATTGAAGGTTGCAAGTACTCTATCACCAGACTTCCATTTTGAGGATTTGGATGATACAATTGTTCCAGAAATATCGGAACAGGGAACCAGAGACGAGGACTCGTTGCCAGTAGTTTTGTGGTGGTTGTAAAGTCCCATTATCACTTCAGTATCTCGATAATTGAGAGCCACAGTGTGGATTTTAACAAGCACTTGATCATCTCCAGGTGTTGGGACTGTAGATGATCCTAGAGTAAGATCTTGAATACCGGACTGTTGGGTAGTCCATTGCTTGTTGATATTTGGGAGTGACATGATTAATTCGAGATTGAGGATATAGGGAAGGAGAGGAAAAAGAAATACGAATTACGGAAAAAGGAATATAATATAATGAAAGAGAAAAAACAAAGATGGAAATTTTCAAGTCCATCTTGAATTACAAAGATATTGCTCTTTGACCCACCAAAGATTGTTGCGATTAAATCATCGTTGTGGGGAAGCCCGAATTCCCGATGAATCTGGATTCTACATATTCGCCCCACAAGTAAACGCCTCGGTGCATGAAGAACAATTTTGGAATCTCGCCCCATCAAATTAAGCAGATATGACAGATCTTGATGGCAAAGAATATATTGTAATCATATCCAAGTAACAATTGCTTCTACCTTGTCGTCTTATCGTCATCGTCATCATCATCACTATCTTCTCCAGCTCTCATCATTTCTAGCTCACCGTTCAGCATCCTCTGCCAATTATCCGCAAATTCTCTCATACCACCCTCCCCACTTGCACCGGCTTCCACCACTTCTTGTGGCATCTTGTGTGCACTGTATTGTGGACTTGAGAAGCTATATGCTTCTGGATCATCTTTCTTTATTAACCTGAACTCGGGCATCCATCCAAGCTCCTCAACATCATCAGTTCCCTCATCTTCATCACTACTTTGAACAGGCAATGGCTGCACTGACGATGAATCTGCCACACCAAGTAATGGCGAAGGTACAGAAAGGGTGAGGAGTTCTAGCCACGAGAACAGGAGTGGATCTGTCCGAGGAGCCCATGGATTTATATCCACTAGCCGTACTTTATCAAAAGGATCCGGTAGGTAGACATCAAATGAGAAGTTACGATCTGGAAAGGTATCTTTGAGAGTGTTATCAAAGTATTTTTGAATGACTTCTCTTAGAGTTGGAATAAGAGGAAACAAGAACTCAAAGTAATTCAAATCTCTTTGGCAAATGCCAATGATTCTTCGATCTCGTACAAAGCATCGAAACTCGCATGATGGATTAACTTTAAACCATTTTCGTAAGACCAAAACATATTGTGTATTTTCCTTTGTAATGGACGGATCCTCTGCACAACCGTCGAAAGCGTGTTCTAGATCGTGGGTAATGAAGTCGGAAGACTTGAGGAGGAGGTAAATGTCGTTTGGTGTATTGCATTCCATACTGTTCTGTTTTAAACTAATCCATGTAGCATCCTTTGGAGCAGACCAGTTGAGTTTGGGAACCACTGATCCACCAAGTTCTGCGATTGTCTCTTGTATTTGCTTGTGAATCTCCGAGAATTTTTCAGAGGGGTCGGGACCTGTATCTGTATCTTCATCCCAGCCATCACTAGTTGAATTGTTGTTGTATGCTTCTGGTGGAGGAAATGTAGCAATCTCAGATGGAAGAACTATGCCATCTTCCCGTAGATATGAAAGGAACTCTGAAGTGAGAGGGATGATTCGAGATTTGAGAGTTGAAGATCGATATCTTAATATTTGTTAGCAGTTTTCAGAGAAACACATGGGAGCAGAAATCATACTTTGCATGCCAATTGTCATATGAGCAGTTCAAGATGTGGGATTTAGTGATAGGTTCGAATGGAAGTCTAGTGAGGGGTTCAGCCTCAGTGATTCCAGCTTCTGAACTATTGGGAGCTGGCATTTTCGTATACTACTTTGACTGTGTGGATGGGATTCGATTGATATAGAGACCTAGAAGAAATGATTATATATGAAGAACGTACACTGGTATGTTGTGAGTCAGAGTGATCCCTTCACATCAATGTTCCATCTTATCGAGGGGCAATCAATATTTTTGGGAGATTCTGCCACGCTAAGCTATAGACCGCCTGCAATAGCAAGGATTTGTCAATTGTTCTCCACTCCGCCCACCACCAGCTTTCTCACCAGCCAGCAATCATCTGGAAAAGAACAACTAATAACTATCACAACTGGAGCATTTCGCAATCATGTCCTCCAACGTCGGTCTTACAACACCTAGAGGAAGTGGAACTTCAGGTTATGTCCAAAGGAATCTTGCGCACATCAAACCCCGCGATCAAGGAAAGCCATATCCCACAGATATTGACAGTCTTAGACACAGACAGCGACAACCTGACAAAGGAATTCTTGAGCATGATAGAAAACGAGAAGTCGAGGTCAAGGTGTTTGAGCTGCGCGACAAATTAGAGGAAGAGGGGTAAGTTTTTGGACACATTCATTAATCGCCCAGGAGCTAATGATGTATACAGAGTCGATGAGGAAGAAATTGAAATACAGGAAGAGGCATTGCGCAAGAAGCTATTGAAGGAGATGGAAAGAGGTAATGGACCAAGCAGGAAAGGCTTAAAGATGCATCAAGTCCATGATTTGGCGGAAGCAAAAATTAAGCAAGACAATAAGTTCAGGAGTGCCTTGGGTATTTCTAAGGACTATAAGGAGGGTGGCCATTGGCAGAAGCAGGAAGAGAGACAAAAAGCTGCAATGGAAAAGAATGGCGAAGGATCTGCCGCTCCATCAGCCGATAGATGAGTGCGAAAAGACGAGATATTAAAAGGCCTCGACACGACTACATATTGGACGATCATTTCGGGGCGTTGCGCAATCAGATAGCTGGTCTTCCGAATGGAGTTATTGTTAGGATATACATGGGTTTAATTATCTGTATTGGGCTGGAGCCCTACATCAATTGGTATGAATGTTCAAGGTTAGACATATACCCTCACGATTCCTTTTTCTATACATTCTAAATCTCAAACATTCACAGCTTATGCTTCTTCTCACCACTTGCGATCTTCCTGAACTCCTCTTGTGGTATACCAGCAGCAAATCTTTCCAGCCCGCCGAACACCTCCGCTACACCTTGGGCGTCAAGCAAATCTCTCTCTGGTTTTCTAATCAACGCCTTGATCTTAATCAAACTATCGCCGATTAAATGCGTTCCCAACCGATTATCTATCTCTTCGAATACCAACTCTTTGAACTTCTCGGTCTCTCCCTTTTGAACATCGAAAATCTTGTTCACGAACCCTACTTGCAGCAATTCCTCTGCAGTGATTCTCTTACTCATAATAAGGGCTTCATTTGCTTTGCTGATTCCCAAACGCTGGACGAAAGCTCTCGAAGCTCCTCCTTCTGCAACAAGCCCCAAACTAGAGAAGGGGGTCAAGAGGAAGGTTTGAGGTGTGCAGTATATGAAGTCTGAGAAAGCGATCAAAGCAGCTGAGAGTCCGACTGCTGGACCATTTAGGGCCGTGACGAGAATTTTTGGGTGTGTATAGAATGCGTTGGTTATGTTGAGGTTATTCGCAACGAAGCTGCTCAGCCAATGACGAGCTAGATCAGTTCCAACAGGTTTTTCTCTACTGATCGATACATCAGCTCCTCTATGTATTGATTAACATATGGCAGCTATTAATTAGTGGAGGAACCTTACGCTGAGAAGTACCGTCCTACGATTTCAAGTCAGCAAGGTCTCTCATAATTAATATTGCGGGACATACCCTTTCCTGTCAAAACCGTGACGAAAACTTCATCATGGGTAGCAATCTCCCTCATGAATTTAGCTATGAGATAATAACCATCTTGAGTCAAAGCATTAAGCTTCTTCTCATTATCAATAGTGATAACTGCGATTCTACCCTTATACTCGAGAGTTACTGGTTCGGTTTGAGCCATTTTGAATGATTCCGTGGTGATTGTTATATTTTGGGAGTGAAGAATGATACTGTCAAAAAAGCAGAACACAAGTGCAATCGAAATCAAACCAACAGTTATAATGATATCAACAAAGTTACAAATAGATCTCGAATAGTCCAAGGAATAGGACCCAACAAGCTATCAAGCTCATTTGTGGGGTAGCCGATTGCCTCGGTTTCCAAAATGCGACCAGAGATTCGGAAAGGCTGACGACCTGTATCTGAAGGAGAACCCAACTACAAAAAGGCAAAGTCCGGGACAATAATTGACTGAGCATTGTAAATTACTTCGATAGTAATATTGAAAGTTTCAATTGTCAATCATAAATATGAAGATTTAATTATCAAAAAAAAACTGTAATGGATATTCTCATCGTCCGGCGCTCACTGACTGTAGTTTGTAACCAAAGATTTGCTTGATATGATTGGTCGATTGTGAAGTCTCGATACTCGCATGATTTTTTATGGAATTTGTATCGAGCTTCGATTGTAATGTAGGAATAAGGGAAGACATACCACACAAATAAACTGATTATATCGCAATATCAGAACACATACTACAATCATGGGAGGCCCCAATCTCGAAGTGTTCAAGGTAAGCATTACCATACCCAATTCCAATCATCCACTTTGCCAGTCTCATTGCCACCTTCGATGCCCCTCCATGAATTATAATTTGACAACTCAATAGTTCGGCATGTATATCATGTTCCCAATCGCCATCATGTACTATTATGGCACAAATCTCGATCAACGATTTTCGGTTCCGGATTTCTGGCCAAGAGTTGATCAGACTAATCGTATACCATTTGAGAGGGACGAGATCAAATCAGAGCTTGAGAGGTTAAGACAGAAGAGACTGTACTTGAGAGAGCAGAGGGCGCGGGGTGCCAATGGATCAAACGAAGAGGAGAAATAGGGGAGAAGACGGCTATGAAGAATGCAACAATAGAATGACGTTACTTGGAAGGGAGTTGAAGACATAGATTTTACGGAACGATATTGGTATAAAATGGGCTATAAGGCAGGCTGGCGTTCTACGAGTACACATCAGCAATATGTTGCAGGGCTAGTAGGGGACCGGCAGAGGACTTGCATATTTTGCTCGACTATTGAGGAGTTTCAAAGGATGGAGCCGAATTATTTCAGTCTTTCTTGAAGCATGGCTAAGGGGTGAGGGATGCTTTCTACTATGGTACAAATCCCTACTGTTGTACATCTAGTCTACATTCTACGTTTATATGCGTTTAAACAAAATATAATACCCCTCTCACTCAGTCCAATCCACTGATCAATTCTTCCCATTTTCCATCGTCAATATTTCCCTGTACCACATTTGCATAAATTCCTTGGACATCGGAGTTGTCTCTTGTAGACTCAATGAAGGAAATGAGTCTATCCGTTGCCTCCCCCGCGTCGACTGGCACATTTGTATCTTCATTCGGATCCCACAGGATATCGGAACTTCCGATTTTAATATCGAATTTCTTCTGTAGAGCGTCCCCAGCTACTGTTACCATATTCGGTTCCGTCCAAACGACAATATTTCCCTCATCATCGACTTCTAAATCCTCTGCTCCTGCTTCGATTGCTTCATCCATTACATCATCTACGCCTAGATTTTTCTCGTCTTTCTCGAACGTAACGCATCCTTTCTTCTGGAATAGATATGCAGTAGGTGTAACAGTTCCTCCATGAGTCTTGACCAGATGCCTCAGGTCCATCATAGTACGATTAACGCTGTCTGTTTCGGCTTCGATTATCATGGCAACTTGTGGCGGCATTATGCATTCTAGAGTTGCTTTCTGTAGCGCAGCTCCAGTTGTAGATTTTCCTTGTCCACGGGCTATGGCAGCTTCCATGGAAGCTTTTGGGAAACCAGCTATGGCATTGTAAGTATATGAATGTACATGTCGATGTCGAAGGGAATGTACCCCATTATGTACCTTTCTTCGCAGCAGCTAGGACAGTCGCCAGTCTTGGATTTATGTATGGATCGGCTCCATGCACTTGAATTTTATGTTAGTATCATTAGCAATATGAATGGCGCACCAGAAAACACACATTTTACAGCCAACGCAATATCATGCGCAATGATAGAACGGGCTTTCGTCTTTTTTGCATCCACAGCACCCTTGTCATGCTTGATTTTCGACCATCGATTGTGACCTGAAGATATCGCTGACGTAGTGGAAAATTGTAGACATTTCGAACAGATATAATCGGATCGAAGGAAAGGTCTAAGACCTCTAGAAAATGCTGGCATGTTTGTCATACCGAGAATGAAATTTAATATTGAGTTGAGACTTAGGAACTGAGCTCTGAAAATAAATATTGTTGTGGCTTCCGATTGGCTGAAACTCGATCATCATCGCGAACACCTCTGTAAATTGGTACAAGTAAAGGAGCCAGCAATGAGGCCAGAACCACTCCACAAATGTCCAGATTTCACACGGACATTGAACACAACAGATACAACGGATAATAAATAATGTCATCGACAGGTCGTCCAAATTCTCATAATGGCTCAAGTGAACTTCCTGGCAGATTAGAGCCATCGCCCACCCCCGAGCTAGACATCAAGAAGCTCCAATCCCTCCCATCGGAACAACAAGACTTATATCTCCTGAATTTTGTCTCGACGCTCACGAAACATGTGGAAGGCTTGGAACCAGACGACTGTACCGCTCAGCAGCTTTACCTCAAGAAAGAACTCTTTCAAATCCTCAATCTCGCAGCTCCCCCTCCCACGAGAGTCATTCGAAATAATTTGGGACGATGTTTCGCACATGTGCTTGGGGAAGGGGATAGAAAATTGCTGTTCGAAACGATCAATGATCTGATTACAATTATCAGTAATGGGAAGACAAAGACAGATGGGGATTTCAGGACGAAACATGCAGCTGTTTACTGTTTAGGGGATGTCTTCGCAGCCGCTGGAGACAGCGCGATTGGGTTACATTCTTTAGCATGCAGTGCTATACTTAAGCTATTGAAGTCCGCGCAAAACAATGCTGGTTTACGAGCGGCGATATTCAAAGCTGCGGGCAAGATTGTAGGAATGGTTGCGACAAGTATGGACGACACTATCGCAAAGGACATATGGAAACAAGCAAGAACTTATGCTTCGAGTGAGAAGTCAGCCTTGGTACAGATTGCTGCATGTAAATGCTTGAGGAGTCTGTGTAAGAATACGCAGTACTATGATAATTCCAGCGATTTCGAAAGTTTAAAGTCGACGATCTTCAAGACTATAGATTCGCCCAGCGCATTGGTTCGACAGGCGGCAGCAGAATGTTTGGCAGAGGCATTAGTAAAGAGTCATTCTGAGGAGCCACCCCGGGATAATGATATACCAATAATCAAGAAGATCAAAAGGACGAATACCAATAAACGCTCATCCGGAATCGCTGGACAGGGGCTTGACGACGATGAAATGCCCTCGAGGCCTGGGACGCCCACCGGCAACAAGAAAAGTCAAATACTCGTTCTTACACTACAAGAGATATTGAAAGTGTTGTCGAATCATTATATCAAAATATCCACAACCAACAGAGCTCGCGCCGGAATAGCTGTCTGCTACAGTCGTATATTTAAAAGTATGAGCGAAAGAACGGTTGAGACGATGTATATGCAGATTGTGGACCATCTTACTGTGGAACTTCTAAGCCATGCAAACATTACCTGTAATAGATATCGTTTGTTAACCACACGTAAATTTGTGCAAATCATTCTCGAAGATGTTGTCGGCCATTCCATACTGGGCGAATCGGGACAATTGGACGCTGCAAAGTCCTTGGTCAATGACATTCTGAAAAACTACCCTCAAGTTATCAAAGAGAGAGCTGAGCCTTCGAAACATACACTTATTGCCACTCTAAGCGCGTTGGCATCGCTAATCAAAACTTTGGGGTCCGCAGCGAATGTAATTGCTGAAGGTTGCCGGGATGGACTATTGCAAGTCCTTCAACATCCAAGTTACACGGTGCAAATATATACATCATATTGTTTACGAACGTTTACTTTGGCTTGTCCTCAGCAACTTTTGCCATGTCTTACTATTTGTATGAACAGCGTCAACCGAGAATTGAACTTGTTGAATACAGGACGAAACTCACCAAGACGATGTGTTGGGTATGCCAATGGGCTGTCTGCCATGATTAGCACAGCAAACTTACAACCGCTTTACGGCTCAGTCGATGTTAATAGTCGCGTCCTTTCCCTTGCGACCAACCTTCTCAAATCCAGTAGTAAATCGGAATTGCGGGTCTCAAGCACTCAAATTCAGGTCGCTTGGATCCTTATAGGCGGGTTGATGTCGTTGGGACCGAATTTTGTTAAGATTCATTTATCTCAATTACTTTTACTATGGAAGAATGCATTGCCCAAACCTCTTGCAAAGGACAATACTTCTCAACGAAGTTTTCTCGAATCCTCTTTTCTCACACACGTTAGAGAGTGTGCCCTTGGCTCTATTCTGGCGTTCCTACAATTTAACAGCCGCCTCCTAACTGCAGACGTCTCTAAGCGAATTGCTGCCATGCTTACAAATACTTCGGCATTTTTGAAGAGTCTCCCATCCAAAAAGCTGTCGGATGATGTCACACAAAGATTGACTCCATCATTGCAATTGCAAGATCTTGATTTGATGGTTCAGCGTCGCGTTCTTCAATGTTATGCACGACTGGTTGAGCTTAGTCCAGTTGGCGGAAGTGAAGCACTACTACAATCAAATCTTCTCACGCTTGCTGTATCATTCTTTGCTGATCCTGAAAATTATAGCCCGAGTTCCTTATCTACGTCCATTGCGAGCTCAGCAGGTAATTTTGAAACAGTTTGGGACGTTGGAGATAATTCTGGCTTTGGAGTCACAGGCCTTGTTCGAGGCTTCAATGTACAAAAGCTGGCCTCTGAGCAAGAAAATGGATCTCAAGATGACTGGATAAAAGAAACCGGATCGGACATTGACATATCAAATGTCTTGTTATCCCCTATTTGCAGCTCCCTTGAGCACGACTCCATTTCACTTTATTTGGGTGATATCCAAAAAGAAGATAGTTTACCAGACCCGCCCGCTACAGAAGTTGTCAACATCGCTATTAGATTATTCGCAATCGCTTTCCCAATCACTCCCCCCAAAATTCAGGAGAGTATACTAGAACAGATCGCTACGTTCTTATCCACTGGTGCACTCCAACGAGACCCTGGACGCAAGGCCGCTATCAACGTCAATATCGCGACCGCTTTGTTTTCCGCGCTGAAGGTGGCTGTTAAAGAGACATCATCTCCCCCTGGCGACCTCACTAATCCTGCTGTGGAGAAGCTCATGCAAGAAATTCTTAGGTCATTCGTTGTCCATCAAGATCAATATGTACGCAACATTGGCTATGAGTCCCTAGCCCGACAGTGCAATATTTCTGGTAATACATATACCAACTCAGAAATAAAACATCTCATTGATACCATTGTGAGCAACCGTGAGCCGAGCGCCAGAGCCGGTTGTGCAATGGCACTTGGGTGTATTCATTCTCAAGTCGGAGGAATGGCGGCGGGCTTTCACTTGAAGACGATATTGGGAATTTTGATGTCATTATGCAATGATCCACATCCAACTGTTCATATCTGGGCACTCGAGTCACTATCACGTGTTGCAGAGTCAGCTGGTTTAACATTTTCGGGTTATGTATCGAGTACACTTGGCATGCTGTGCCAATTATATGTTTCGGACACACATAACGAGGAAATTTCTTCCCTGGCTACTTCAAATCTAGAATTGGACTTATCTACAACTGCTGTTATTGCACGTTGCATAGATTCTTTGGTCAATGTTCTTGGCCCTGATCTCCAAGATATGACCAAAGCTCGAGACTTGATACTTACTATGGTAGGACAGTTTGGGGCAGAGGAAAACATCCTGGTCTTGGCTGGTAGCTTGAAATGTCAAGAACATCTAGCTCTATATGCTCCAGGCCACATGGAATTCGTAGATTACGTTGTCCTTCTCCAGAAAGATCTCAAATCTGATATTTCTTTACTAAGAGATATCGCCATCGACGGTTTATACAATCTCATGAAGCGCAATTCGGAGGATGTTGTAAAAGCGGCCGAGACCGGTTTTGAAGATCAGCTTTGGTTGGCCTTAGATTCAGACCCCGCACATGACGGTATCAGGAACGTTATTCGGAATTGGTTACAACAATCTTGCTTGACAGAAACTCCACGATGGCTACAAAGATGCCAAACTGTCCTATCAATGACGCGACCCAAAGCAGAAGACTCCACGGCAATATCTGCAAAGGTTAGTGCCATGCCTGATTTGCAGGATGAAGAAGTAGCAGGTTTTGCAGCTGCTTCTGGCATGACCAAAGATACGAATGCCCCTGCTGCGGGTCAAGAGCCACTTAGATGGCAGGTTCGAACATTTGCCATGAGCTGTTTGGGAGAAATATTTGCATTGGTCAGCAAGGATCTAGCAGCTAATGGTAGTTCATCCGCGGAAGTTGCTTTACAAAAGAGGGTTGCCGATGTTATTCGGATGGCGTTTTCTGCCTCCACATCCAATGTTGTGGAGCTCCGAGTCTGGGGTTTAAAGATAATCGATGCAGTGCTGAAGATGTTTGGTCATACACCAGATCCTGATTTCGCCGAGGCGCCACTTCTAGAACAATACCAAGCTCAGATTAGTTCTGCTCTTACACCAGCTTTTGCCGCTGACTCCTCGCCTGAATTAGCTTCCGAGGCTGTTAACGTTTGTGCGGCTTTCATTGCTACTGGTATCGTTACTGATGTCGATCGAATGGGTCGTATTCTCAAAACTTTGGTGACTGCACTGGAGAACTTCTCGACGGAGTCTGAAGTTGCATCTATTGGAGATCTCAAAGGCCTCAGTTCTAATGCTCAGGTCATGGTCAAGATGGCAGTCTTCTCTGCCTGGGCTGAGTTGCAAGTAGCCAGCACAGAACAAAAGTATCTTGTGGATGTCCTCAAACCATATATTGGTACGTTGACTCCATTATGGCTTGCTTCGTTGAGAGAATTTGCACGTTTAAGATTTGAGCCAGATATTTCGATGAGCTTAGGTCCCCCATCTTTGTCTGGCAGTCTAGATAGTATCTATTCTGCATTGAACAGAGAGACGTTGCTGAGGTTTTATCAAGATTCATGGCTCAAACTTGTTGACGCTATCGCTAGTCTTATTGAACAGGATAGTGAATTCGTGTTCAATGCTCTTGATGGCAAGGAAGCTGATGCTCCTTCGACAAATGGAAATTCGAAAGGGAATGATATCAACTACCGAGACGAACCCGTCGCATTTTTCTTTGTTTTATTCGGTATTGCGTTCGAAGCACTCGTTGCTAAACCTGGAAGTGAGGCCCTAGCATCAAAGGGACAAACACTCGAAATATTGCAAGCTTTGAAAAAAATCCTACATCCTAGTGTGTCCGGACATGCGATATACAGAGAGGCAATATTCTCGGAAACTATGGATCTACTAGACCGACTTGTTCTTACCGAAGGCCTTGATGTTCAAACTGTTATTGTGCAAATCGCAAGAAGTCTGTGCATTTCCCATCCATCGGCCACCAAGGCGGACTTGGCTGAGGGTGAGGATTTGTCGGAGGATATCGAACAGCTTTTTGAATTGACTAGAATTATTGTTTTGGTACTTGCTGGACTGCTACCAAATTTGATTGAAGCACAGCAACCAGCTCGTCATCCACTAACAGATGAAGCTGTCTCTCTGGTCAGAGTGTCTCTCAACGCATTGGTTGATGCTGCTGAAGTGTTCCCATCGATAATCAAAACAGATCTGCACGCTTGCATTATTCACATATTTGCTACCATTCTTGGAACAGGAAGTTGTCAAGCCGTGGTAGTCCCTCAATCGCTCCCGATACTGAAGCGATTCATCACGAGTGTCTCCGCATCGTACAAAACACAAAATCCTAAACACGACACAAGCATCATACAATTACAAGGTTGTCTCAAACGATTCTTATCGATATACATGAACGCCCAAAAACGAGAGACAGAAGTATCCCTACCATGTGTAAAAAATTCTCTTCTCGCTTCAACCTTGTTGCTTACTAGTGGGACAAATCATTTATCTGCTAGCGAGCCCCTTGTCACTCGTTTCCTGGACGAAGTCGTAGATTGCTTGAGTGATCGAATGGTAAGATGCCTTTCCCTTAAGAGGTAAACTTTGCTAACACAATTTCACAGACCGCAAAAGTAGCAGCAAACTGTATTCGCAGTCTTCTTCTCACAAACCCCAAAATACCAGCAGATCAAAGCATCGCGCGTTATCTTTTACCCCTCCTGATTACCTTCAGCACAAATACTGCAGCTGAAGACCCTGAAAATGCCAGAGCTCTAACATTGCATGCTCTAACAGCATTTGTGGTTTCACTTGATGGCAAACAGAGAGCAGTAGCTATGTCTGTAGTCATACCTACTTTACTGAAACGTGCGAATGGCGACGGAGAGAAAGTTTGGAAGGAAACTAATGCAAGATTGCTTGAGATGGCGGCGGCTGATCCAACAGCTTTTAGAGCAGTAGTTGGAGGAATGACGGCAGAGCAGAAGGGATTTATGGAGGGAGTTCTCGTTAAGGGTAGAGAGGGTGGAAGGGGGAAGATGGATGAGGATGAGGAGGGGGGAAGAGAACCCACGATTGCTTTGAGGATGGATTTTGGAGGATAATGGAGAAACGGGATGGAGAGGGCAATGAAGAGAAAGAAAAGAAAGTAAAGTAAAATTTTGAGTTTGTATAGAGTGGAGTAAGGATTGTATGTTGGGATGATTATGGGAGGTGAAAATAGCATTGAATGATAGGTTGGGATAGATATTAATATTAAGCGGAGATATTATTCTGCGGTTAAGCAGAGGGAAGTGGTATTCTCGAATGCGCCTATCCATGTCTTGTTGTGTGCTGTTTCTCCCGTTTGAGAGTCCTTCCTGCTATACTTTGTGTCCGACTTAATATCTGAAACACCATAATCAAATCTATATCCTGTCCCATCTCATTACTTCCAGCGCAATCTCCATCCCCTCAGACCAGTCTAACACCCCAAATCTCAATTACATTCATCTCTGTCTGGAAACCCTCCTTCACTCATTTGGTAACCCATCTCCTGGAATCTATCGTCTAATCATTCTTCGTTCCCACTCTATCGTCTGACTCTCGGTTCTGGTAGGCGGAGAGAAAAAATCCGCGGGGCCGTTGCCGGTTCTGGCGCTTTCGGGGTAGCTGAGCTCGAAGTGGAGGGCGGAGAAGGGCTTTTTGAGGGAGCGCCAGATGGAATTGAGGGTGAAGGACATGGTTTGTTTTTTGGGTTTGGATTTGGATTTGGATTTGGATTTGGATTTGCTGTAGGAGGATGACTCTGAGGAATTAAGAGAAAGTGGATGAGATGGCTCAGCGTTTTTAAAGGTTTGAGTTTGAGGTACGGTGATGTCGTGTAACGTGAGCTAACGAGGTGATTGGCAACAACTGTCCTCACAATTCTCGGAGTTGAGGAGATTGAATTGGGAAGTATATCTCTCGACTCAAAAAAGGGACAACGCAGCTAGTATATATACCCATCTATATCTATATATCCAGCCCTACATAAGTACTCATACATGTATGTACCGAGCCATACCCGAAATCCCCCTGTCTTCTCTCTCCAACCCGAGAAGAAAGAAAAAAATACCAAGCCCCGAAAATCGCTATTTTCATTTCCGAAATGTTCGAGATTCATTACACAGCTAGCTAGCATGCAAAAAAATCTATAAAAAAAATCTCATGATTTTTCGAATCACTTATCGAGTCATGATCTGAATGGTCAGTTGTATCGCCACATACCGAGAATTCCCCATTTTTTTACCGACGTGTTGCATCTTTTGGGGGTGAAAATTGCGATGGTTTCTCGATGGTTTGGGGTTGGAAAGGGATTTTTCGGAGGTTTGATTACGTAGTTGATTTGGATTGCTGGTAGGGGTTGCACTGTGTTCTATTTTGGTAGGATGGAATGGGATGGGATGGAAGTTGTAGGTGTTTCGGACGAAAGGAAGAGAGATTGAGGTAGGATAAGATGGAAAGAGCGGGTCGGAATGTAGGGTGTCATGTGATTATTGGAGTGAGATGTGGTGGCTTTGTGGCATCAATAGATTACTTGCTACTGTATTGATTGATTGGTATCGAGGAAAATATTGATTTTTACGGGATGGAATTATCTGTTCGCATATCCATTCTAGTGTGCTTGTCGCTTGTACCATTTGAATGTATGTAGCATTAGATGATGTTCGTCAAAAGACTCTTGTTTCAATATTTGGGATGGTTATTTGCCGATGGACGATCATATTCATATTTCAAGGGTATTTTCTACTGAGCTTTGAAATTTGTTATTTCTGGACTTTCACTATCAATGCCACTTTTGATGTTCCGTGTTGCTAGCTCTTGTTTGGTGTTGAACTCTGAATATGTCACGCTATAGATAATGCACTTAGTAAATTGTCTTAAGCACAGCTATCCATATGCTTGGTATCATATTCTCCGTGGAACCCAACCTAAGATAGTGAATCTTGTGTAACAATGTACACGGCCCCATAAGTTCAAAATCATTTACGAAAAGCAGAGAAGACAAACTGGTAGATAGATGTGGAAGTATAAATTGGTGTTTTGCTGCTTCAAAAAGGACTATGAAAAACGGCGCATACAACTCGAATCTGTCTCTGTGTACGAAATCTCTAAACACTATACTAAGAGAACCCTTCCACTATATCCACCATTCCTCTTCCACCGAACATGAGCAGTGATATCTCCATGTAAAGACATCATTTTACCGTTCGACCCTGCTGCTCATCTGTATCATCGGTGGCTTGTCTCTGTGTACTCTGAGAATAGATATATTAGAATGTTTCTACAGATGTAAAAATTCATGAGCTGGGCAGTATGTTACTAACCGTATGGACAGCCTTCCGCTCTGCCACGTAGATTCTGCAATCTTCTCTTCCCTTTTCAACGTCTACGAACCAGATAATGATACTCGCAAAAGCACATAAAGCGAACAAGAATGGAAATCCCATCCAGTTATTGTTCGTATGATTAACAATGGCTTGGATGACGTTTGGGCCGAGGATTGAAGACTGGTCGATTAGTTGAAAGTTATGAAGCATCGTTAGGGATTAGAAAGGATATGAACCACATACAGCTTTATTCGTAATACCAAATAACCCAAAGAACATTCCCTCATATCCTCTAGGAGTGACCTCACTCATCATTGTTTGAGAGTATGAAAAATATGGCGCTTGAAATAATCCAAAAACAATGTTATAGACATAAAAGTCATAAACATGGTGATAGCCTATCTTGTCAGTCCATAATCCAATCATACCATATAGCGGAATTAAAACACTAAAGATGTTGGTGACGATAAACATGGATTTAGTTCGAATGCCAAAATACTGTTGAATGTACCAAAATGAGAAAGTGGATATCGTGGAGGCGATCGCTTGTGCAAGTCCAAGATACGTTAATTGAAGAAAGGAGAAAGAGATAACTTCGTTTTGAATAATAGAGACGAGAGTAGTGGTCGTATTCAGACCGTCAGCAAGCATAAAGAATGCGAGTAGATAAGTAAATGTCTGAGGAAGATGACGAATTTCGACAAGGGCGAGATAGACTTGTTTCCAGCCGATAGTCCATATTGAACTGCCTTTTGGGATAGGTGGCCCAGGACGTGCTGATTGGAAAATAAACCAAGGAAGACCAAGAACAACCCAATCTAGCTACGTCAGATAAGATCGTCTTTCGATATGAAGTCAAGGGAAACTCACATGAGTTTGTGAGACACAATGCAAGATTGTTAGCAAAAGAATTTCCTTGCATCGGAATCAGGATAGAGAGGCTGAGTACCAGCACAAGAACGTATCCGATACTAGCATGGGCGGTAGATATATTACTAATATGGTTTCGTTCCATACTTTCTATCCTATCATACTCATCTTGATTTATCTTTTCTTCTTTAAGTTCTTCGTCTCGAGCCTTTTGAACATGAGGCATGTAACGGGCTAATCTGGGAAACAATGCATAATAGAACACCAATGATGCCTGTTATCATGTAACGTTAACACAAACACTTGAGCTAGATTAATGAGAATACTAACGCCGTATGAAATGTATGATACAATATACAAAGCCATGGCTGTGGGCCACTGTTCTGGCTTCGTAATAGCCATCATCCCGTATTGGAAAACCCAGCACTTAATCTGTTAGTGTAACCTTCATGGGAGTAATTTGCCACTTACGACAACGGTAAGACATAGAAGTATCCATCTCCCAAAATGCCCATAGTCTGCAACAGATCCAAAAGCCACAAATATGACAGACATAATGGTGAAGCAAATCCCATTGGCGAGCAAAACCACACTAGATACAGATCTTGTAGTAGTACCCCACGGTATTACACAACCTCCCGTGGTACAATTACCTATTTGAGCAGGTGTAATGGCGGGATCCCATCCAGCTTTACTCAGAGCATTTTGAAAAAGGGCTTGAGAATAGCTTTGTGGCCCTACTCCGTTGTTTCCCTAAGAACTGACGGTTAAAATACAATCAAGCAAGACAGTGGATCGGCGCTCACATTGTAATAAAGATAATATGACCATAACTCCTTTCTCGAGGTCGTAGGTTGACTAGATGATTCTTCGTCGATACCAAACAGTTGTTCGTATTTATTGAGGTTCTTCTTGATGCGATCAGACTTTGTTCCATCGATATGCATTCCATTGTCGTTCATTTCGATGGCATTATCTTCGATTTCATCGACCTCGGGAGAGCCCATACTTGCTCTTCTTCTCAGCAGTGGCTGTCTCGAAAGACTCCGTTCTCCAGAGGAGGAAGCCATATTGTTTATAAGTATTTCTCATTTCTCGAAGAAGCCTTAGCTAGTCTCTCGTCGTACAAAACGCAATGCCGCGTTGCATTTCGTAAGATAATGTTATCATGTCGCACCCGGCCTCGCTCTTTTACAGATATTAGAGTTAGCCTATTGAATAGCAAAGGCTGGCTAAGGAGATAGCTATGCTGCAGGCGTGATTGTATTCAGACGACACACTTCGGTCGTCGGGCTTCAGCCAAGTTGTCTCGGCCGATCTCCGGTCACATCACGTGACCATTCTCCTCAACCTCCCTATTAATATAATCTTTTTGTCAAGTCAAAACTTCCTCTGTGCGTGATCTTTCACCATTTAGCATGCAAAGAAGCATTGGGCATCTTTTTAAGTGCGAAGTTACACTGGGAGCTTTGGGCCTCGTGATTAAATAACACGGAAGGTCACCGACAGTCTTCTCTTTGCAAGCTTCACTAGACACACTTAAAAACAATGGAGCCAAGCTATAAGGGATTAACAACTAGCTGATTTTCAGATCAAGAGCTGAAGGAAAAGATTGGAAAGGTATGGTTTATCCTTGTAAACTCTTTCAAATTCATGCCAATACCTGCCAAATTCATTGCTCTCAATCTTTCGAATGTCATGGGATCGATGGACGGGCGGATCGACCACGTATCCCACAGGTGAATGTGCAATCGAGTTGCTCACTTATTTCAATGGCAACCTAGCAAAGTTGCCGTTAATAGTCATTTTGTCATTGAAGGTGTCGAAAACCTTAGAAAAATTGGAAACGTCATAATATTCCATAGAAATATCTCTACCGCGGTGAGATTTATTCGACCAACAGCTCCATTGCGAGATCTGGTTGAGAGTTATGAAGATTATTAGAAACTCTTTATTCGCAATCGATCGGCGGGATTGGCGAGTGGCTCGCATCGATCCGTCTTTTACAATACAACTTTTTGATTCGATGGCTTTTGGTGCGACCGGTGATCAGTCATCTAAAGTTGCTGAATTTATGGTAAAAGATACTGATGGAACATGGCATCAGCATGGACTAGGCGCCCGTTGCGAATAAATATCTGGAATCAAAGACTTCAATCACTGAAGTGAGGTCATTCAAGGGTGACCTAGAGATAATTAGAAGGTTTGTAAAGGCGTAAGTGAGGATTTTGTAGCCAAACTGCATTTTATCTTACGCTAAGCATCTCCCTGGTCATGGAAATACAGCAGATGACTCTCAACATAGGCTATCAGTTGTCGTTATGATTAAGAATGAATTAGAAGCTTACAAGCTGGTACCGTTCCGGCAAGCCATGTAAGCTGCGCAGATGCTATTGTGGTGGCTCAATCAACTCTAGCCCGGTCAGATAACACCTTTGATGTAGTCGAAGACTTACCTGACAATGTCAATCCGGGTCTAATAGGGAATCTACGCGGAAAGATTGAGTATGGGATTAACAGTTAGCGATTGTTTAGAGATGGGTGGAATAAGAGCAGCTTACGAGACAGTGAAATTAGCAGTCAGTACCACAAATTTGATTACGAATACCAATACTCAAAGCTCGTACATCTAGGCAAGACCTAATTACGTCATTTTGTGCCATACTTTGACAGCTTGAGTAGGTGCTATTGAAGCTATTATTGCTCCAATAAAATCTGGTGGAATCTTGATTAGCTATTGAGTCTTTGGTAGATTAAGTACTTTGGATCAATTCTAAGAATTCATCCCCGGGTATATCGAATGCGGCTAGTCGCTACATAAGTCTTCAAATATTCAAGAAAGCATGATCAATAGTTGCGTCCTAAAGTTATGCCAGAAGTACAATTCTTGTCCGCGAATGATCAGGATGTCTTCTAGTTTTATCATTAGCTATAAATGTGTTCTTTCTATCCCTAACAGAGGCACACTCTAGAAGATGACGCTGATGAAGGCGGCGGAGATAAAGCAGTTCGATCGCCGCTACTTACCGTTTATAAAGCAAGAAATCTCAAGCACAGTTTTAAGTATATCATTAACCAATAGATTCATAAGAAATATTCATTAAAACCCAGTGATGAATGCACGTGTAAGCTTGCGGAAGCTGATGTAATTACGTTTGTGACCAGAAATGCAATCTTCTATTCACATCAAACATGTGCGGCACGTCTTTCAAGCACATTTCTTGCTGGGATCAAAAAGCTCATCTCGACTGCAACATGTGATTCTTCCGATGTTCTTGGAGCTAGAGATTTCACCAAGATTAAATCGCGATACATGAGTCGAAGTTGTCGGCTCTGAAGGCGAGGCTAGAGGTAATATTGGCTTACGAGTGAATCGAGGTCTTCTCCCTGTCTCTTCAATGAAGCATTCTGTTCACGTAGTAGGTGGAGAATTTTTCAAAGCAAAATACGAGGGGAAAGATGGGCTCACCTAAAGAATTGTCAAGTTTGTTGGTGGACATACGGAAGCATTGAATCAAGTGCAGGAAGGCCAAGTCCTAGGCTATCATTGAGAAACCATGGTTATTTGATTATGCCCCGAAGAACGTTCGGGCTAGGTCTTAGAGCTAGTTTGGATGTATAAATCCGCACTGAATCCACTAGATATTTCATATTTTTTGAAAACGGATTTTGAATTCATATTTAAATATCAAATCACAAATTCTGTCGAATGATTCGCATTTCAATAAATTTATATATTTTGAGATAAAAAGGAAATGAACTATTTTAAAATAATATTAAAAAATTTATAGTTTTTAATAAATTTGTATATTAAAATAAAAATGTAGATTGAGAACGAAAATTAAAAAAAAGTAGATTTTATCGAATTTATTAAAATAATCTGTTCTTTTTATAAATTTCTATAGGCTTTAAAATCTAAAGCTTTAATATATAAAATCTAAAGTTATAATAAATAAAATCTAAAGCTATAAATTTATTTTGAATTAGAATTTATAATTATATATAAATTTAAATAAAGTTATTTTTATATTTGTTTATATCACGGAGGGATAGCTATGTCGATTGGTCACTCTGATTATATAATAGGTATGTATAGTGATAATAAACTAGATTGATTTGAGGTATGATTATAAGGATTATATCTATTTTATATATTCTGATCGAGTGATGAAGTTGTTTAATTAGATATTAGGGTTTATATATGAAATGAATAGAAGATTATATGGTGATTATAGGAATAAGCATTTCGGAGGAGTGTTATGTTTAATTATGTGTTGTTGTATAAAACAGTGAATTCCGTAATAGTTTATTTAGTTATTCAAATAGCAATAGTATATTGAAAATTCAAATTATTTTATTTAATTTATATATATACTATATATATACTATATATAGACTCTACTTTCTTTCATTTTAATAGATTTTATAGTGGATTTGATATACAAATTATAAAACTATAGATTAATAATCCACTCTTTTTGAAACGGATTGTTGTTATTACGAAATCCGTGGTGATATAAAGAGTGGATTATTTCAGCAAATTCAGTGCGGATTTTACATCCAAACTAGCCCTTAATGTGTTCACTCTCCTCGATTATGCGCAAAAATTCTGCGTTTTTGTCGCTCATGTCATGAGGAAATAAGACGGGGACAATTTATGCGAAGAGGTCGATCGAGGATACAGTGGTTAAGTGGTACCTAGGTACTATTCTGTTGATGCAGAAATGGTAGGACATAAAAGAATGGGGTGCCTATTGGCATCCGTTGATTGGGTCAGTTTCTAGGGTTTGTATGAGACGCTAGACTCCAAATTATCAAGTGGCTATGAATTATTTGAATAGTCCTGAGATTTGGCAGCCTCAGAAATTCAAATCGGAAGGTCATTGTCCGAGCCTAATCAGGGATTTCACAAGATAGTAGCTGGCGCAGAAGCAAATGTGGAATGCAGTGTTGATCTAAAGAGTTCCCCGCACTTGAGCAAAATGGATACGGAGTTTGAAGTATAAATCAGACATTGATAGTTTCTACCTGAGCCTAAGTGGTGTAAAATAGAGAAGTAGGGACGGGGTCTCCATGGCGAGGTATGCGGTATAGCAGAGGCTTATGCTACTTCAAGGTCCTGTGATGTGATGTTATGTTTTGTACTCCTCGTCACAATGAAATTCTGACATGGAGAGAGATCCTATACTGCCTCAAGATGGCTGTGGTAACGAACTCACTGCAGGATTAGTATCTATCCTTGTTGGATCCACTTCGCCGATTTTTCCCACTCTCGCTATTTCTGATTCCTTTAGACTTTTCATGTTGTCAACGTTTCAGTTAATTTTGCTCCTGTGACCGAATTATTTAGGGGGGAGTTAGGTCTTCTTCGATTATCACGGATAATTTATCCTTTGCCAATCAAAAAAGCTTTACTTGGCAATCTGATGACCATGCACTGTTGCGTTGGAAAACTGGGGATACCCCGCTACTCGGCAGACATCTTAACGAGATAAATTAACACAAGAGCTTTAAGTACCTTCGGGTCAATAAAAGAGTCCTCCGGATCTACACATCCGAGCCCTAATTCTTAATCGAAAATCACAGGTAATATGCCGACCGATCAGATTTGTGATGCCTCAATATCATAACTCACATTGTCAACAATTGTTTGTGTTGTTATAGTTAAGCTTTCAAGAGATATAAGATGATTTAGTGTGGGGAACAGCTAGAGCGCTTCTTTTTGTGGCTTGAATTCACGCCAATTGTCGTAGCGCGACAAGATATAGCTCGAATGCCGAAACAAAAGTTAAGTTTCTCGGCTAAAATATTTTCTCCAACGACGATTCGTGCATGTATATGAAAAGGGGGGGTAGCGGAGAAATTTATACAAAACACCCAACGAACTCCCTGCACGACGTTCCTGACTTGAAATTCCGGATATATCCTGCTAACTGACATGTCGTTGTTTGCTCTGAGATGTTTGTGGGCCCCCAGTGTGAAAATAAAGCTTTTTTAGCAAGACTCTATATCAGCTGAACCTAAGCTTCCATGTATTCCATCGTTAATTTTTCAAGTAATCATCTTTTACGGACCGCTTGTCCGATTTTTGTTGCGGATCTTAGGCTCTTGGTACCGTCAGTCCAGCGGCCTCTCGAGCCGGTCGTCGACGAGGTCAGAGTTTGATAGATACGTCAAGAACTTTGGCCATGTGAAAAAGCTATTGACCGCAATCCATGGGACGCGAAACAAAGTATAAAGTGAAGGGTTATTCCTGCTTCAAATTCCCCTTCATCTCAACTACAATTTGCATTACCACAAGAATCTGACAACAAATCACCATGTCGTCAAGAATTGCTTTAGTCTCCCTTTTCGCGGCCGTTTATGGTCAGCAAGTTGGTACATATCAAACAGAAACTCATCCCTCCCTCACTTGGCAATCTTGCACAGCTAAAGGATCTTGCACCACAAACACTGGAAGTATTGTTCTCGATGGAAACTGGCGATGGACTCATGGAGTAGGCACTTCGACAAATTGTTACACAGGAAATACTTGGGACGCAACATTGTGCCCAGATGATGCCACTTGTGCAAAGAACTGTGCTCTTGAAGGTGCAGACTACTCTGGAACCTATGGTATCACAACCAGCGGAAATTCTTTGAGATTGAACTTCGTTACTCAATCATCATCAAAGAACATTGGATCTCGAGTTTATCTCTTAGCCGACAATACCCACTATAAGACGTTCAATCTCTTGAATCAGGAGTTCACATTCGATGTTGATGTCTCTAATCTACCTTGTGGATTGAACGGTGCTGTTTACTTCGCCAACCTACCCGCTGATGGAGGCATTTCCTCAACCAACACGGCTGGTGCCAAGTATGGCACCGGGTACTGCGACTCACAATGTCCACGTGACATGAAGTTCATTAATGGCCAGGTAAGCTAAGATACATATTGCAAGAGGATAAAGCTAACTAAATACTAGGCCAATGTTGATGGCTGGGTGCCTTCAAGCAACAACGCAAACACTGGTGTTGGTAATCACGGTTCATGCTGTGCTGAAATGGATATCTGGGAAGCAAACTCGATTTCCACTGCTGTCACTCCCCACTCTTGTGATACTGTGACACCAACTGTCTGTACCGGTGATGCATGCGGCGGTACCTACTCATCATCAAGATATGCTGGTACTTGCGATCCGGATGGATGTGATTTCAACTCTTACCGCATGGGTAACAAGACCTTTTATGGTCCAGGTATGACTGTCGACACCAAGTCTGTCTTTACTGTCGTCACCCAGGTAAGCAAGCATCTTTTAGCGACATATAATTAGAGAATGAACTAACATGCCAACCAGTTCCTTACCACCGACGGCACAGCATCTGGTACTCTCAATGAAATCAAACGTTTCTACGTCCAAAACGGCAAAGTTATTCCCAACTCCTACTCCACCATCTCAGGCGTAACCGGTAATTCCATCACAACTCCTTTCTGTGATGCTCAAAAGACTGCTTTTGGTGATCCAACATCTTTTGCCGACCATGGTGGTCTTGCTTCCATGTCTGCTGCTTTCAAAGCCGGCATGGTTCTCGTATTGTCTCTTTGGGATGATTATTATGCTAATATGCTTTGGCTCGACTCTACATACCCTACTACGCAAACATCAGCAGGTGGTCCAAGAGGTACTTGCTCTACTTCATCGGGAGTCCCAGCTTCGGTAGAAGCAAGTTCTCCCAATGCTTATGTAGTCTATAGTAACATCAAGGTCGGAGCTATTAACTCCACTTACGGTTAAGAGTATGTGGATTAGGCTCTAGAAGCCAAATCTTAGGAGTCAGGTGATGGATGATGATGATGAAGGAGAAAACTGGAAGCGCTCGTTTATCAAAATCAGGTGGTGGAGGAAATTGGAAGCGATCTTTTACTGATATTTTGTGGTAGGGGATGAAAGTTAACGTTGGAAAGACTCGCTCGTTTGAAGAATCGTGTATATGGAAGTCTACTTTGTACATATGATTTCAATGATCACGCATCGTATATCGACATCATGCTTGCTTCGTGCTTTGGTAGTGAATTTGGTTCCAGGAAACAAGTACAGTATCAGATGATGAATTTTCAGTACACGATAAAATAAGCATAGATTAAACTTCTCTAGAAGCTCAAAGTTAGAATGACGAAAGTCAGGCTAAAGTGCCCATAGAACAAGACTAACCATCCAAAAAAACATTCATGTTCAGATATGCAATACAATCATTAAAAGCTCAAACTTCGCGGGAGCTAATACGAATCAGTAAAAAGCGGGGAAACAAGCTTACTTGAACACACAAGCTTCATGCTAATATATCATGCTAGTTGAGCCTCTCATTCCCGTTTTCTGGACCTGATTAGATTTAGTGGAATCCTATCCCATCCCTACAAACATATATCAAGATCATAATATGCGGGTGCGCTACGAAGAGGATGTGAAATGGAATTCTAATATGTAACTGACAAATTCGATTAGAAATATCAAAATCAAATACGATACTGTCATCTGAATTGAGATATTCCTAGTGAGAATGGGAAGATGTGACTCAGTATTAGAGAGTCTACGAAGCCTCAGCATCTGCTACTCATTAATCCCCTTGCATGTGAACCATGATTTGTGAACAAGAAATTGATGTTTGCTCTTTTACTGGCAATAGTAAAGAAACCAAACCCCAGGAATATTGATTAACCCTTAAATATTCTTGACTTGGCCAAGCCCCTTGTATTCCCGAATCTATAAGGCTATTAATACATGCTAGTCTCTAACAGGATACAAAGAGTACGTAGAGCTCAGATGAAGTGAGCGATAAGAAGTTTTTCTGGCGTATAATACAGGTGAGGAAAAAAGACAAATCGAGTCTGATGGGCTTGGATAATGCTGAAAGGTTGAATCCAGAAAAATGAAGATACGAGCGCTACGAAATGAGTCAATCATGGGGTTCGCAGATTAAATGACTAGTCGCAGAGGTAGAAGCATTTGTGTTGCTTAGAAGATACGATTGAGCGATCAACGCAGGAATTGAGCTGATAATCACCCTGAATCTAGTTTTTTGGGCATGATAGACTATGGATGAACAATCCATTTTGTTAATCAACATCCAACTTTGAAAATACTCTCTAGTAGTCGATATCATCCTCAGCAGCTATTGTAAAGAAAGCTCATGTCATCTACCAACGACCTAAGCGAGTACCCGTTTAATCATGTGAAATGTTCTATGAGTCTTGGAAACAGTATGGCACATCGTAAACAGATGCAATCAGTCACACTTTATTAATTTATTTATCGATAGTTTTCATTATTATCTGCAAAACTAAAGGATTTTATTTAAAAAAAAAAGACGAGTAGCTCTTTGGTTTTAACGAAGTGCCCGCTCGAATTCACTGGAAAGAATTATCTCGCCCTGTCGAATAACGGAATGCCTAGTTATCGTTGGCCGACTAATATCGTGTCCTATAGACATTTAAAGAAGCCATGTGAAACACCCTCTGAGTCTCCCTCTCAAAAGTGAACTCGACACTATTGCTCATGACAGAACGCAACTGGTGCATAACAGACTCTAGAACTTCAGGTGCTTCTGGTGTAAAAGTCACATCTCTAAGCAAGTGTCTCGTCTCATACCTAACATTTCCACAAACACCTTGGATAGAAAATTTCTCAAGTTCGGACCAAGTTCCTTCTAACAATGCTGGAAGTATAAACTCAAAAAAGTAATCATCTATTGGCCTTCGGGATTGGCTCAATATGGATGTATTATTATGCGACTCCACTTGCCATATTTCAAGTAATTCAAGTCCCACTCCTTGTTCAAAAGTAAAAGTGACCAGTTTGGGTGCTACCGATCTTATGAAATTTGCCATTTCGGAATACCGCTTTTGTTCTCTTGTCCCTGACCATCTAACATCTCGACTGACTTCACGACCTGCTATAGAGATTTTAAGATGTTCCAATTGCACAAATTTTCCAACAAGAGGCTGTAGATGCCCTATCATTGGGCCGCCGTGTCTCAATACAGGAATTCCGTGCCTATCCTCAGTCTCCTTGTATTTTGTGTGATTTGTCCAGAAATCATCGTCAATACCCGAACGAAGTACATAATGAAAATTAAGAAGACAGCTATCTTTCGGTTGTAAAAGGCCTTGAAGATTTTCCATCTCCAAAGAAGTTACAATAGAAGGTGTTGAAACAAAAGCGCGGAAATAGGGATACGGCATAAGACCACCTATTCGAATAGAAGTAGCTCCGAGGAATACAGCTGGCGGTATAATTGCCGAAGGTCCAAAATACTCTTCGTCGAATCCTGGTGCGGGAAAATCAACAAAGTCTCTCCAGTCACCAGCAAGTGAATAAATGTCTAAACGTTCTACTCGAATTAGAAGCTTCCACGCCTCCCACATTTTTGTATGATTCACGCATTTCTGTCTATATGAACACTGCCTCGGATAGATGGTCCACGTTAAACTAGAAACGAAATATCCTAGCGCGGGGAATCTGAGAATTGTATCGATGAATGCATTTTGTCGCCTGACACTGTCTTCGTGTTGCGGAGACATGTACAAAAAACCTCTCAAGTCGATCAAATCATCAGAGGCAGTCCGATGAGAGCTAAGATGGACATGACAATACATTATCGGCACAGTAAATTCATACATAGCACGCGATGTCTGTGCTATTTGTAACAAAGTCAGTCATGGATTTTTTGCGACTGTCTGAAGAATGAGTACCTACATAATCTTGACAATGCTCTTGACCCACAACACTCTAAGACCATAGATTTTAGCTCTGGGGTAAGGTTTTGGAATTTCGTAAAAATCAACATGGTATTAATACTATTTGAATGTATTCAAAATGTGAGATAATGAAGTTGCGTGGTTTGAGGTATAAGATGTATACAACTTGAGTGGAAATAAATGAGGTTGTATGAAAGAGAAGATTGTTTACAACACTTTGATTGTGTGCATGAGAGGGAAAGACCGAGAAGTCATATAGTTTATGGATGTTTCGTTGTGTCGTGGCAGGTACAATCAACAGCAATGCATGCACAGCCACAATCTTTGATATACAAAAAATAATCACATCTTTCATCTATTCGACCCGATTAATCATAAGATGGTCTGAAATCTTATGGTTTCTTGAATATATTGCCGGTTTTTGATACCACGGTATGAAGCTTTGCAATTCTGAATTCTATGTTGAATCGGAGCTAGTCCACGCCTCATACATCGAGCTAGTCTTCCTAGAACTAATGATTCATTCAACTAATGATATCACCTCGGTGGTGAATTTGAAATTTTTGTAGTAGTTCTAGTTCATTGATTCATATGGTGTGTTCTAATAATCTAGGTTAAGAGTTTCCAGAGCTACATGTAATATACCCGTGTGCTAGCGCACGCTCACTTGCATATTCACTCGTATCACAATGGACGTACTATTGAATTTAATTTTATAATCCGGAACTACCTTGTCACTCCTTAAATATGCCATTTTTCAACAACCGATCTTCTGCTAACAAACCTATTTGATTCGCATCACGTAGATTCTACAGTTTGAAACGAGCTGAGTACGTTGAAGCATGCTTGAAACCTCAGGTTGAGCCTCGATGATATAAATGAGACCAAGGTCGATAATCCCGAAAGAAAAAAAAGGGATGAGATGTCGAAGTTGAGCAAAGGGTGGGAGGGAAATGTTGTTTGTACCATTCAAGTCTGAACACTTAAGACGGTCTAACTCACTACTTATCATTTTTACAAAAGCAGAAAATAAGTTACTACCTGATCCTATTTAAGACTGAAACAGTGTTGTAATTAGTATTTTCCGTATTTCTATTACGCCCCACTTTAGTGATATGTATTGATAATTATGAAGATATTTCAGTAATTGTTATTGAATTGCATATCACTGAAAGTATTCCATATTTCAATAATATCGAATATCACTAGCAATATACTGAAATGCGGGAATTCACATATTTTTATTCGAATATTGCATATTTCGATTGACTTTACGCCTAATAAGGAAAGAGATTATTCAAAATATGTAATATTCGAATAAAAATATGTGAGTTCCCGTATTTCAGTATATCTTCAGTATAGCTCCTTTTGTATGATACGTACGGACGTGAATATCATTGGCTATTATACGTACTAGCGTGCGTATTGTACTCTCTATATCAGCCACAGTAATACTACCGTATACTAATTACAACACTGGACTGAAAGTGGAACGTAAAATGTTCAAATTAAGATTAAAAATAGGGATAAATAGTTAGTTAAATATTATTGGGAAGCAATAAGAGCTCCCAGAGTCTTGCGAAATGTCATCAAACACCTCTCATCAAAATATTGGAAATGAATCTACCGAATTTTTGAAAATCAAGCCACACTTCCTCTCCATTCTCTCTGTATTTCGGTTGGTTTGACCCTCAAAACTTTCCACGTCTCATTAGCATTATCTTTCAGCCGTTGACTGATAACTACAGCGATTAGCAGAATTGAATTCTGAGACGTAGAAATTTTGAGTATAGCAATAGCATTCAACAACCTCTTCTTCTCCCCTTCAGGACATAGTATCTGAAGTTCCTTTGTGACAATATAGCTCCCAAACTTCAATCCTTTCGTCTAATACTCTCCTGATTCCACCCTATATATGTATCATCTCAAACCCGTTATTGAGTGCGAGACTTTCGCAATTATATACAAAATGACACCTCTAAATCTAATGAATTACAATATTGACAAGGAAAAACATATTCAAAAAACTTACCAGAAAATTTTTTGTTTCCCTATTTCTTCTTTCCTTTTTCTAAACATGAACTTAAATCATATTATAATTTGATACTCATGGCTTAAATTCCTATATATTAATATTTCAACTCAATAACCCTTCATCATTACCTGAAATCTTTCAACAATATTCACCAAAATTTACCTCCGAGATTCCCCCCGACTACTTTTACATGTAACATTTGACAATAATTCAGAAGTTACTATCTTGCTAGATCAATCTATAGATCTTATGTGGACATGTCCGCTCAGTAATTCCAATTCCGAAGAAGGCAATGAGATTTTTGAAAACATTAATCAATCCATCATGAATCATAAAGTACCAAAAGAAAGCAGTAGCCACAAATCACTCAAAATCCGTCAAGAAAAGAACTTCGGTAGAGTGCTATGTCAATTTGATTGATTTTCTTATTTAGACAAATTCCCACTCGATCGTTTTGGCATCACCCACCCCCCTCATACCACGCTCCTGGCTCGAATCCGCTATCAGAATTCATATTCAAATCCGGAAACGAGTAGTTTGGATTCCATAAGTCCTCTTCCATACTTACGCCAACGTCAAAGTTAATCATCTGAGTCATCTCCTCCCAAAACGACGTACCCATTTCAAAATTGTTGAAGCCCACAATGGGGTCAGCAGAAGCGCTATTTGGAACCAGTGGTTGTGGTTTAGCAAGTTCAAAGCCATTTATGTCCTGTGGGGGAGCCGTAACTTCCTGAGTAGCCGCGTTGTCCCCCTCCTCGGTGACATTTTGACTTTCTTCTTTCCTACCCAATGACTGTGAATTGTTGGCTATTTCATCAACGTTCTTATTACGGTCTAAGATCCTCTCCTGACAAATGGTGAGAATTTGTAGACCTGATTTTGCCATGGGGCTCCTGTCCTCAATCATCTTCAACCTGCCTATCGATTTTTCGATTGCAATTTTCATTCTTTCCTTTAGACCACTTTCCAAATTCGGTGATTCTAATACTATTCCTGATAAGACAATTCCACAATCAATAGTGTTAAATGCTAGGGGATAAATCCGGTATTGATGTGGTCTCACTGCTTTGAAAAGTTGATCCTGAGCGTCAAGACAATCTAATGCAGCTTTTATGCATGCAATCCGACTTGTAGAATGGATTGGTGCATGAGGTCTATGGAGTGCCATGAGAAATGAATGCGCGGAATTCGCCATTGATAGTCTTTGAAGAGGAAGTCTCGGTTCTTTCACGTCCCATGATTTATCTGGGTTTTCTGGTCGTAGGGTAGGTGGTAAAGCGCCAACCATGGAAACGACTTTGTTGTGAAGATCCGTGATGAGTGAGTAGTCTTTTATATGAGGTCTATGAGCGCCAGCTGCTAACAGTTCATGAATCATTTGAGCTAAAGAGTAGTGAAACAGTTGAGCCGAATAAGTGGATGGTGGGGAGTGAGGATCCTGCGAGTCTGCTGGTGTAGGTATGGTTTTTGACGGATCAATAGGAAATGAACAATCAAGTGGTGTGTTGATTGTACAATCACTTGCGTTGATTGAGCGAGGTCTTCCAAGCATCACAGACATATGACTGACAAAAATTAGCAATGTATCAAGTAAGGATGGAAGCTGCTGACCTATCCCAAGTGAAGAGCGTTACCCAAAGCCTCCTTTTGTATTCGTCATACCAAAGTTTCTCCAGTCCAATCCCAACATCCTCTCCCGGAACTTTTGGAATTGACGCTTGTAGATGAAGTCCTAAATCTTGGGCCTGTCTGAGATTCGGTCAGCATGATGAATAAATGAGATAGAAAGACTACAAACCTAGTTGCACTACCCAATAGATGCCACGCTTCTGTGCCTCGACTGTAATTCTTCAGCCAACTAGATTTTAATAAATCATGTTCGACGCCCGTTATGGTGGAAGAGTGTCTTCCCAAAAGAGACATTATTTCCATACCAGCTTTACTATATTCATGAGAAAGTCTATCACAATCCAATAATGTATCTAAATGAAGTGTTTTTGATGCTTCTGTGTCTGGAGGTAAGAATTGTAAAGAAACAGCAAGAGTTTGGAATAATAATGCAGGAAAATATAGAAGATCTTTAGAGATACTCCCAAGATCTGATTGCCCACTTAAAGTATTGCGAATATCTTGCCATGACTTGAGAAGATTCCGAAAGTAATGCTCTTCTAGTATTTTGAGATACCAATGTAATTCTGAGAAGAACAAGTCGACAAGCTCAGAGACAATAGACTGAGATGGCAGCTGTATAACTAAACTCAAGAATTTATGTCGTAAGCCAGGATGGGATAACGAATTTGATGTAGGTGTTCCCATGAATGTAGAAAGGTCATCATTAACATGAAATGACTGCTTCTGTCAGGCTGAACCATGGACGAGGGAGAAGAAGAAATACCTTCTGTAACCCACTAAACGAGCTATTATGAGAAGCATATCCTACTTGATCAAAGAGATCGGATGGTGTTGAGCCTGACTTCAATATGATTTCCTCGTCTCTTGTACGTTTGCTTGATTATCCCCCATTATTTGAGATATCTTTCAGATCTTCGAGTCTATCCTTTTCATGAGAACGTCTTCCAGTCACAGTTTAGAATTTATAACATACGATGATGGGTTAGAATAAGAGCACTTATCCGGAACATTTCGAGCAATGCAAACACCACATGGTTGGCCACGATTACACTATTTGACTGATTAGAGGTAATCCTTACCAATGATATATCATATCTTACCTTTTGCTTTCTCCTATAACATTCCCAACATGTCTTTACTATACGTCTTCGTTTCTGTGGCTTCGTTTCCATGATCAGGTATTCAGTCCAGTGTAGCGGTATATATATCATGTGTAGATTGATGAAGAAAATGGTAAACGGTGTGGTTGGCTTTCGTCACGTGAAACTGGGTCTTGAAGCGGAGTTAACGTCGTTAAGACCACAAAGCTATCTATATGTTGCCTCGTATCCTCGTATCCTCGTATCTTCGTATCTTCTCATTGCCAAGCCCTCGAATATTTTATCAAAACTAGAAACTTTAAAATCTTCTCGAAACGTCGGAAGATCTCAAACTGTACCACTAGCAAAATCTCTCTTAAAACACATAGTCGAACTCGCACATTCGAAGGATCTCAATAGTGGCAATCTCACATTCGAATCACAAAATGTGAAAGATATAATACCCGCCTCCATTTGCTCCAAAACGCAATTCGAACGACGAATAGCTTTCCATGTTGATCTATATCTTCATCCCATCTGGAACCGTATAACCGCACTTGCTAGCTAGCCAGCTGCTATATGTTTCCAATGTCTTTGGAGTCTTGAATGCCATCCTGTATTGACACTCTCTGAATGCGTCCAGCAGGATGGCAGGGCTCAAATTATCCTCTATTATGCGGTTTCGAAGATAAATGTACAAATTCTTAATCGTATAGAAGCATCTTTCTGGAGTTTTCGTTGCATTCCGTGGTCATCGAATCTCCTAGGAAGTTATACAGGTGATATATTCATGGGAATCTGCCCGTCGGAAAGGAATGAAGAGAAAGAACATGACTTTACTTTCAAGCCAACCTTGAGTGGGAGCAATCATGTTCTTTCCTGGATCGCTTCGATTATCGGGCTCATATACCAGACTCAAGCGTTATGTACGGAGTACATTTTATTGCTGCAAAACAAGCAGACTCAAACTGTGTTTCGATCAATTGGCAGCAGATGGGAAGCATCACACAAAATAGATAGACCTTATACATACAACCATCATACTACCTTTTGTATGATTCAATCGACTGTTTTGCTTCTCTGCATTGAATCTCCCTCCTAAATTCTTCACACGTTCCCGCAGAGTAATCAACGATAAACAAGGAAATCTATCCTACGAAGGAATACGCTCAACTAATGGCATTATGTCAATTATCACCAATCTTAACATAACATAACATATTGATTGATCCTTGATGTTGATCATCTCGCTCACAATTTACCCGACCCCAATGTCCGTCCTTCCCCGCAATTTTACCGAATGTGCCGGTTTTTATCCCAAGTTCGGTTGGATGAACACCTGCATACGATTTCATCATCACTCGTCACTCGTATAAGTAACTTGCGGTGTATATCTGAAAAAGTCAATCGGCCTCAAGTCACCTCGGACGTATAGCTCAAGTGAGTTTAACGTCCTATCCTGGATTGACAGCTCAAATAATGGATACATGCAAGTGACTACCCCGCGAGGAGAATGAGGGGAAATTCCCACATTACATATATGTTCAAACGAAACTGCTGTTTTCTAGTAGAATGCGATTAGAAATTCTCTTTTGTCAAAGGTAATCATGAAGGTCTTCTTATGGACATTGTCTTTTGGAACTGTTTTGTCTGCCTCCACAGCTGCCACGCCTACGACGACAGCTGAAAGTGCAGACGCGTTTGCTACGAATATTGATATAAATGTTCAACGTGAGTACATCAACGCTTTTCTGATTCATCGATAATCACACGTGCAACATTTCTCGGTGCTTTTCAACTCACTTCCCGTTCTCGATGTCCCAGTCCATCACGCAACTAACTAATATCTATTCTAGAATTATGGGATTTCTTTGTCGGTCCGGTAGAAACCGCAACAACCAATACAACCGTCTCTGCGACTCCCGTTCCAACATCTGAGCTCATTCCTCCACCACCTCTCCATTATTCCCCCTTCCCAAGTGGTGCTCAGGTACCTTTGACCCAAAAGAATGAGTCCTGGAAATTTCCTTCTGGCTTTTGGTGGGGTGTAGCATCTGCAGCCTACCAAATCGAAGGAGCAGCTGCCGATGAAGGCAGAGGTCCTAGTGTTTGGGATGTGTTTACTCACAATGCAGCTGCGACGGAGACCTTATTTAATGATACAGGAGACGTCGGTGACAATCAATATTATTTGTATAAACAAGGTTTGTCCCCTGAAATAATACACTAAGCTTAGAAGGATAAGAAAGTTAACAAAAATAGATATTGCGAGAATTGCAGCTCTCGGTGTTCCATACTATTCATTTTCTATCTCTTGGTCTAGAATTTTACCATTTGGAAAGGGGCCGGTCAATGAACTTGCTCTACAGCATTATGAAGATCTTATTGATACTTGCATCGAATATGGAGTTCAACCTGTCGTTACTCTCTTTCATGTAAGCTTTGTCCATACGTCATCCCATCCTTAGATCCTAACTTTCTCCTTTCAGTGGGATACTCCTCTCTTCCTCCAAAACTCTTACGGCGGCTGGCTTTCTCCCAACATCGTTGAAGATTTCGTCGCCTACTCCAAGATAGTATATTCTCGCTATGGCAACAAAGTTCCTCACTGGTTTACCGTGAACGAACCCCACGAATTCTGTGGCGAGTATCCGTTCCCCTCTGGCTACTTCACACCCACCACCATCCCTTCAGAACAACAACGCTTTTACTGCGGGCACCATGCTCTTCTTGCACACGCTGAATCGTACCATCTCTTCAAATCCCTAGGACTCAATGGAACCCTAAGTTTCAAAAACAACGGCGGGTATAAAATTCCCCTCACAAATTCCACCGAAGATGCCGTTGCCACACAACGAGCTTGGGATTTCAACGAAGGCTGGTTTGCAAATCCTGTTTACATCAATGGAGACTATCCACCTTATTTAAAGACCTATCTGGATACCATTCCTCTCACATTCAATGAGAGTCAAAAGGCATTGATAAATGGCACTGCTGATCTATTCGCTCATGATGCGTATACTTCTTCATATTACATGGCTCCCGATACGGGAATTGATGCATGTACCTCTAATTCTTCGCATTCCTTATTCCCAGGCTGTTTCAATACTACGAATGTAAATGCAGACGGGTGGTTAATTGGAGCGGCGGCAGATCCGTTGGCAAGTTGGTTGCACATTGCCACAGATTGGGTACCTACGTTTTTGAAATACATTCAGGATACTTGGCCTAGTAAGGGAGGAATTGCTGTTTCTGAGTTTGGGTTAGTTTTTCGGTTTCCAATGATGGCTCTATGGCATTTTTCTTCTCCTTTGATTTCACGTTCATCTCTCTTACGAGGCTTTCCTCTATCTTATTACATCAAACCAAACAGCTAACCCCTCTCCTCCCAATAGTTTTGCAGAGCCCTACGAATATCAAAAAACGCTCCTCTCTGATATCCAGACCGACACAAGGAGAACGCTCTATTACAAGCAATACATGGAAGCTATTTTAATAGCCATTAATGAGGGAGTCAATGTTGTTGGATGTTTAGCTTGGAGTATCATGGATAATTTAGAGTGGAGTTCCGGTGAGATTTTCCCCTTCCTCTTTCGCTACCATCCCTCACCGAGATGCTTTTATTATCTTCACCACAGGAGGAACCCTCCTATTTTTGATATGAAAGAATGATCGCTAATGATAGTATAGGATACCATGTGAAATTCGGAATGCAATATGTGAATTTCACAACCGGGGAACGGTATTACAAATCGAGTTTCTTCGAATATGTTAACGCATTCAAACTGTATGCAGAGGATCCAGTGGTGCCGGTTTACGTTCAATAATTTGAGTCGAGATGAAAGAATTGAACGATTGGGATGAATGAGCTGAATGGACGCGACAAGGTGAATTGAACGATTGGGATGAATGAGCTGAATGGACGCGACAAGGTGAATCATTCGACGGGCGGGTGGCCGGAAAAATGATTCAAGCTGGAGAGAAGAGACTTCAGACTGAAATTATATACCTGGGTAGCGACATACTATAGACTCTGAAATATCTGTAATCATTAAACGGCCCTCAACAAATAGGATAATTTTTCTCAAAAGGAAGGAGACATGCAACAATTATCAAATGATTTCCATCCATTGGAATTACAAGATCTACGATAAGATATTATCATACATTGTCATTAATTTCCCTGCGATGTTTTTTTTTCTTTTTCTTGAAAGCTATCGTCTTCTATGCACTAGACGAGTTAGATCAACATCAACCAATCACGACAATAATAACCCAAGAACAAAAGCAGAGAAGAGAAAAAAATACATATAAGAAAGCATAAAAGTTGAAAGAAAAGTTTCTTCTCATCCGACATTGAAGTCCTGTATTTTTCTAAGATAACCAACCAATCCATCAAATCTTTTCCCGCGTCAGAAATTAGCCCAATCTCATCTGTACGTATGATTCTCAACATCCCATTCTCATCCCATAACTCATGCTTAGATTTTCAAGTAAGTTATCTATCACTTATTTCTTTCCTTCTCTCATCTTCTCCTCTCCACCTTCCCCTCATTCCAACCAACCCCCATACTTTCCACCCCTCTACGAAATCGCCAAAACCAACGGTCCCGCCACCGTAATATCATCCGTCAGCACCCCCGTCGTCGGCATCTGACTCGCCAAATTCAAATACGCATCCCCAGCTAATCCCTGCGGCACGGTACACGCTCCATTCGCAAATGCCGTAAACGCCGTACCGCCCGTCTGTCCACCATTCGTAAACGCACACGCCGTGGCGCCCTGCGCCGTCGTCGTGAGCTGCAATGTGGAGCCCGGAGTGATCGCCTCATTCGCCGTCGTCAGCGTCACCGCCGGGAAAGGCGTGACTGCCAAATTGGAGCCTTGCGGACAGGAAGAGATGAAGGGGGCGGCGAGGGAGAAGACATTGCGGATGCCGAGGGGAGTGTCGAAGGCAGAGGGGACGGCGGACACTTTCGATGCGGTGCGGATGAATGTCTGGTGGCGAGATTCGACGGTGACGATTTCTGCTGCGACGGTGAGAACCGCTTTGCTGCTGATTAAGGGCGCGGCACCGAGATAGGCGCTCACGCCGATGTTTTCCAGGACGTTGGCTGTAGCGATCATATTTTGGGCGGTGGTGAAGCCGAAGTTGTAAGTACACGGTGCGACGGGTTGGGTGCCCGCGGCAGAAATGGCAGTCATGAGAGTAGTAACGTGAGTCGCTTCCGTCATGGCGACCATTTTCAAATTGGCGATATCTTGGGTTGTGAGACCCAGAGCGGTAAAGTCGGAGTCGGGGAACTTGGCAAATCCTTGTTGATAGAAGGCTGTTTCCAGATTCTCGAGAGTGAGGGCGCTAGATAGGGTTATTAGTTACGTTTTTTGAAAGGGGGGAGATGTAGAGGGAAGTAATGACGCTCCGCTGGGCCACTGCCGTGGAGGCTTCTTCGCTTCGCTCTATCAAAGGAATAGGAGAGAGAAGGAAAGTAAACATACAATTGCAAAATATCCACATCCGTCAAATCAGCCGGTAGACCGGTCGCGGTAACCTGTCTCTTCACCTCGTACATCTTTAACGCTCTCTCATTAAGCCTAGGTAGCGCTGGGAGAGCCGATGCTACTGCTGCCAATCCAACCACCGCTCCAACAAGATTTCTTAATCCAGGCATTTTAAATTGGTTTTCGTTTTAGAAAAAAAAAAAAAAAAAAAAAAAAAGATATATGTTTATAAGAAAATAAGATGTATGCAAGACCAGCCTGAGCTACAACACCTCTACAATTAACTAGAAATAATAAATTAAGCCTCTAAAAGAATTAATAAACAAAAAAATAAAATTGAATGAATGAATGAATTCAAACAAAAAGCAATCCAGTGCTTGAGAAATTAAGTAAGTAGCAAAGAAAGAAAGTAATGTGATTCCAAGCCCAAGAAAACGCAAAAGCAAAAAACCAGACATCCCATCATCTATATGTAGGTAATCCACCTCGAGTACGAACACCCAACCCAACCACACCCTCATTACAAACCCCCAAGCAATACCAAGACGCAGGAAGCAGCTCTCCCGTTCACATGTAGCAACATGCAACTCGATCTCCCAAGCGCACTCTTGGCAGCGGTGCTTAAATACTTCTCAGCGCTCTTCTCACACCCTCCTTCATCCGTTCCCACGCATCACATCCGCACCAGCCAATCGCACACCCAGCTTTGCTCGTCTATATTCCCCAATGCGGAAATTCAGATAAGCTTATTTTCAGTTCCCGACGCACTTGTGGACATGGGAATATGGAACATCGTGTATCCGTGATGGGTGGAGGGCGGCTGGGATGCAGACGTGTGGGATTTGTTTCGAGTGCGTGAGCATTGGGAGCTAGGGGACTTAAGGTTAAGGTTATATCATCTGAAAACCGTTTTTTTGCATCATTTTTTTTTCTGACTCTTAATAACTCAGATATTGATTTCGGCATCTCATCTGTAGGATAGATGGGTTCATACAATCTTCTCTCATACAATCTTCTACTCCCCTCCCTATCCCAATGAACCTCACAAATGCTAATCCGAGTACCGAGCAAAAATTACATAATCACGCTAAGAAAAAGGAGATCCCATCTTTTGTGATTGTCAACCACCATTAAATGCCCTCCCTCCAAACCACCTACCACAAAATCTCACACCTCACACCACCTTTCCTCTTCTCTTCTCTTCCCTCCTTTCCTTTCCTTTCCTCCTTCTTCCTCACCCTTCCTCACCCATCCACCCATCCACCCGTCCACAATTACAAGCTAGCCGTCTCACATGCGTTTCGCATCCGTCAAGCATCCTAATCCCTGCACAACCTTGCCCTACCTCCTACCTCCCACCTCCTACCTCCTACGTATATCCATCTATCCAGCAATCCATCCATCCGGCTCCCAAGTACCGAACCTAATTAAGTAAGTAACTATCTTTCAATTCATCTCCTTACATTGCACATCCGAGCCCTCATTCTCATTCTCATTCTCATCCTCATCATCATTCTCTACGAAATAATAGATCGGTTATTCTCGCATTAATATCCACATCCCCATCCGTACACATCCGCATAAACAAAAAGCTGAATGATATGCAAAGAAATGCAAGATTCATACAATGTGCATTAATTATACTGTCAAGTACCCACCTACCTACCTACCTACCTTACTACCTACATTTCTATCTAATTACTACTTAGTTCAACTCCCAATTCACTATCTCACTATCCCATCCTCCATCTCCGTGCCATACTATACCATCCCGTTCAACCCCCCTCTCACCCACTCCCGTCAAGTACAGATATCGTAATCGCCTGATAATTGCCGAAATCAAGGATCCATGTCAAATGTAGATCAAGGGGGAGGTACAGCACAGCGTGGAACTCACAATGCTTGATATATGTCATCATCTCGACATAGCTCTACAAAATCATCACATTCATATACAATACACAAGTAGCCCATCTCAAAGACAAGATATTTCTGATTTAAATTCATTTCTCTTCGCTAGACTATAAATGCATCTGATACAGAAACGCTAAAAAGCAAAGGAAATATATTCGAGCCTTAATCCCATTCTCACCCGATGTATCATCCGAATAAAAAAGGCATACACTTTCTTCGTACCATTTCCTCTTCTTAACACGTATCATAACCATTCACTTTTCACTGCTATCAAGTAAAACTCGTACCCATTTGATCCTCCTCAATAATTAATCCTTCCTTCCTTCATTCATTCATCCACCTTTCATTCCCAGTCTCATCTTGATTCATCAATATGACAATGTGACAGTCAAAAAAGACCTCCTAGAAACAACCCTTGGTTGGTATTATTGGTGAAAAATAACACAAATCAACGTGTTGCGTCTGCAATACCCCATAGTCCACAGAATGTATCCATTTTGGTAGTCAAAGAATTCGACATTATATCAGCACGTTCGAAACCTCATGTAAGATGGTTGGTTAAATTAGATTTAGAGTGCGTAAGGATTGAGCGATCTGATTGTGAGACATCTATAAATATGTTAGTCAATGTTGAACAAAAGTGAAGCGAGATATAAGTAAACATACGGTGGACTCTTTGTAAGATCAGTCTTCAAAATCACAGGAACTCTCGTCATCTCCCTGACATCTTGAATGTATTCACCATCTTCTTCACGAAGGGTGAAATACTTCAAGTACTTCTCCTTAGCACTAAGCTTAGCTTCGACAGGTTCACCAGTAGGTACCTTTGAGTCGGAACGAGTTCGGTGCAGGCTGGTTGCAGCTGATATTGAGTTCTTGGTTGGCGATGGTGGAACGCTTTGAGTTGGGCGTTCAGCAAGGGAAACACCGGCAACGCTACCAGCAATGTCAGAAGCATCATCGTCATCATCGAATAGAGCATCAACATCATCAGTTGAGATGGTACCAGTCTCCGTTGTCTTTCGTTGAGCTTCTTCGTGCTCCTTCTTGGCTCTCTCGGCAACAGCGGCTTGCTTAGCAGCCGCAGCAGCGTTGGTAGTTCTTTGAGATGCACCAGCCTTTGGACGCTCATCTTCTGGAACATATGCAGATGATGGTACACCCTTCTCCCAATACAACTCAAGTACTCTCTCATTCTTTCTGAATTCGGCCTTCTTAAGAGGAAGTTGATCGCAATGAACTCTCTTTTCAAAGCCAAACTCGGGAATTAAAACATCGAAAGCAGATTCGTAAACACAGACGACGATACCCTCACTGATAAGTTCACCGCCAGCTTCTTCACGCTTTCTATCCATAATCCTACATGACTCGATGTGCACACTTTGTTCTTGAGCATTTTGAGATGAATCCTTCTTTCCGTTGCAAGACTCGGTTGTCTTAACGAGAGTCTCCATGTCTTCATTATATTCAATCTTGCCTTCGGAAAGAACAGCTTCAAGTTGACGATGAACAACCAAATCTGCGTAACGACGAGATGGATTGGTAAAGTGAGTGTATAATGGTAAGTTAAGAGCATAATGAGGGTAAAGATGTGGTTGAGTCTTTCCAGCAATGAAATATTTGGCGCGGTGCATGGACTTGACCAAAAGAGTTTCCATTCCTTTGCGAATGTCGGTATCATCAACCTTGAAAAGACTGTTTTGAAGACGTCCACTACTTGAAGTATCGATTTCGTATCCAATTTTGTTCATGCGATCCGCAAATGTTTGAAGACGTCTTGGATTTGGTGGACCTTGTCGACGAAGGAGTGCCTTTTCAGGAAGGCCTTGGTAGATCCTTTGTGCCACATAAGAGTTGACCTTGTTCATCAATTCTTCAATCAATTCGTGAGATGGAGTAGAATCAAAGATGTTTTGTTCCACTGGAACATTCTCATCATCTAATTGATAAACAAGTCTTAATGGTGCAATAGTCTCTCCATCAGAACCAAGACGAGATTCACGGAATCTTTGAGCAACAGCCTAGACATGTTAGTACCTCGGTGGGGATTTAGTTTGTGCATTGAAGACTTACATTGAGAATTTGGATATCCTTTACCTCAGCACCCTCGAGTTTTACATCGGTTTGGCCGGAAAGGACAGCATCGACATCCTTATATGTCAATTTGCCACCACTTTTGATGATACTCTTTCCAATCCAAGTCTCATCCTCGAAAACAGCGCCGGTTTGGGCGTTGACTTTGAATACAACCGAGACGGTGAGACGATCTTGGCCTGGTGTCAAGGAGCAAATGTCCGAAGCAATCTTTGGAGGTAACATAGCACAAGATCTGTTCATCAAATAAACAGCAGTACCACGTTTGCGTGCCTCTCTATCTACAAGAGAGTTTGCCTTGATGAAATGAGCAACATCAGCAATGTGAATACCAATTTCGATCTTTCCATCTGCTTCAGTTTTCACGTGGATAGCATCATCAAGTTCATTGGCACCATTTGGATCAATGGTAAAGGTCTTCTCGCTTCGGAAATCACGTCTACTGGAGATGGAAGTTTCATCTTCCTTCTCCAAAGACCAATCATCAAGACCAACGCTACGTGTAACAGCATCTGAAAATTCGTCAGAAGCAAAGTTGTTGTCACGAAGAAGAGCGTCAGTCTCAACCTTCAATTCACCCATCTTTCCAAGTTGTTCAACAAGGGTACCGAAAGGATGAAGGGAGGTGATTGGCCATCTCTTGATGCAAGCAACAAAAATACGATCAGCATAATCTTGATGCTTCTCAACGAAATCGCGTGGTGCTTGTTCGGTAGGGATGGCAATCAATGGAACACGCTTGTCGGTAGGTTTGAACCAAACAATCTTTGGTTTGTCTTGTTGACGTTGCTCTTGATGACGTCCAGAGTTTCCATCACGAGCTTGACGTTCAGCTTCTTGCTTTTCCTTGGTAGCTTGACTGGATGGTCGAAGAAGACCCAGGGTACCGGAGAACATTTGTCCGGCGACACGTTCAATGACTGCGACAATGTGACCAGCGTAAAGTGGCTTCTGTTCGTCATTGACTTCCTCTTCCTCGACAAGCAAAAGACTCTGACCCTCAACCTCAACATCATCATTCTTCTTTTGGGTTGGTCGTTGTCTCAAACTTCCACGTCTTCTGAGTCCACCCTCTTGGTTTTGGTCATCACCATTTGTAGAGTTATCACGATGATGATTGCGATCATTGTTTGCATTGCCCGATCCACCAGTTCTGGTGTCAGTGATATCCTTGCGCTTCTTCTTTTCCTCCTTCTCGCGCTTTTGTCCCCAAACTTCGTCAACATCCAACAACTCGACTGCCACGAGATCTCCCTCTAAAGCACGGTTA